ACTATCCGTATCAATTTAGTTTCACTGCAGTATTTCATTATTATTTATTAAAAATATAATTGAACGTTGGGTTTTCTTTATCAGTGGAACATAATAGAATATGTACACTACGGAGTTTTCATTTAGCAATAGAAAGCTACTGCAATGAGTATTTATTTCATTTATGTCTATATTAAAATGCAATAAAATATCACTGAAGATAATTTTACGATCCATTTTATTTCAAATTTATTTCTAGCTCAATGCTCTGACTGCCTTAATATGACAAGAACTAGTTAATATCCTGAATTTCTTCAAGAGTGCAAAATATATTCTATCGATCAGCCTTCTCAGATTATATTGACGCGAAATATTGCTATAGATATACGACATTTGTTATTTATTTCCACCACGACTTGATTTCCTGTGTAGTGGACAATTGTCAGAATAAACCATTATATCATTGATATTTTCTATCGACAGCAAAATCATTGGGATTGTAAGTATTGTACAATAATTAAATTTTAGTTAATATTCAAATATTCACTTCAAACTTTTCCTAACTGATAACCCCTATTAACATTTGACCTGCTTCGTAATATACGCGTATTAAATAATTTCATACCCATAATGGCTGTAAGCATTATAATGATGAAAAACATATTTACCTGCTGAGATGCAACTGTAAAAGAATTTTTCACAGATTTAAGATGGTACAGCTATAAATAGAGTTTTATACCTACGATAATACTGCTATTTTTTCGACTTCTAAGGCCATTAATATATAATTGAAAGAGATAAGAGGTGTAAATTGCATTTCTTTTATACCGAAGATGACCACTCCCGCATGTAATCAAAAGTTAAAAGTGATTTTGTACAATAAAAAGACATTAGCTTCGTTCTAGGTCATAGGAAGAGCATTAATAATGATCATCGATACTGTTACAACCATAATAAACAATGTTGGATAAGTCTTATTATTATCATACAGTTTCGGTTTGGCGTTTGATAAATTGTTAGCAAATCCATGAATATCTCTAAATTAAGGTAATCTGTAACAGTTAGTCTTATATTGACAGCATGGTAGGCGCATAAGTTTGAAAAGAACGATTACTCTTTTATGGATTCTTACGGTAGATGATAATATTAGCCAACAGTACAATTAGGTTACTCATTGTTACATATCCCAAGATTTTAAGTTGAAATTAAAATTCATCTGCGACTATTTTTTAGATGTAAAGAACATAATCAGATTTAAATTATTAGAGTCAAAAACAAAAATATTTTGATGATGCCTTAATCCTGTATATACGGTACGCATATTCTAAAAATAAGAGCAAAAATCTTTGATTTACTATCCAAATCACTAATAAATAGTTCGTAGATATAAAGTATTAAAATCATTCAAGAAAAACAAGTAATAATTCAACAATAACACAGAGAATCAATTGTATTAGATTAAAAACGAACAAATTAGGTAGATACCTATTTAGGCATATTGATCGAATACTTAGCAAATACAATAAAGAGGATTTAATTTGATATTCATACATGTTTGCGCAGGTTACCTAAATTCATGTCTTACAGTTACATTCGTAACTAAAGCGATTTTATTAGCATTGCTATATTTTCTACAGACGTTAAGTGACGGCTTGAAAAATGTTTACGTGTTTGAGTTTAATTGTTATACCGTACTGGTAGTATGTAACGTAAAATTAAAGCTTTAGTATTTCTAGTTTTTTTCATCGTCCTAAAATGGGTACAATAATACCTGCAATTTCATGATTTAAAGAGAAAGTATTTATATGCTCCTATCAAATATTAATCCACACAAATTTATAGGTTTTCTTTTCCTAACTAGAAACTTAATCAATATAACGATGGTACCAATATTTTTACAACTTAATAAATACAAAAATAATTGGAAGAATTCACTATTTTTACCGTATAAATCAGTCACTAGAAAGGCTATAGAATTCTTAAACATTTGATTAGGTTGTTTAAAGATAGTAAAGGTAAATAAATTAGTTGTGTTAACTAAAATCACATGATATCCCATTGAGTTGTTTTATAATGATTCTCGCTCTTCCAATTGCTATAGTTTTATTCATTGATATTTCAGGATCAAGCCTACATCTCTGTGTTTATATTTATTCGCAACCTAGTCTTATATTAAGTATGATTCAGAAAATCGTAAGGCAAGACGAGATAAAATTTCAAATCTCGCATACTCTGCTACCACTTTATTGTGATATTAACATGTGTTCTCACAATTTAAAATAGGAATATCTATATAAATGAGAGTACATTTTAAACTTATATTAGAAGTATAACGCGAGGTAATTTCACAATCCAAATACTCAAATGTTAAATCCTAATAAGAATTCACAACTGCTAGATCTGTACATAGCAGAATTAGTCGCTACAAGTAAACTACTGAACGTATTATTTCAACCATAAGTAAAATACTAGAAATGTATAAAAGAAATCAAATTAAAACAGACATAAACAATTCTTAAATAATATCACCGTCTTCAACAAATACAATAAATTAATTTTCATAAAGTTTACTATATGAATCATAGCCTAGGCCATATAAATTAAGTAGGAAGATAAAGTACGTTCACATAGATAAGTAACAGGATCAAAACTTAATAAAGATAAGACATCAAATTACGGTTTGATTGTAAATGTAATTTTAGATCATATTGATGCATATAAGATTAATCAGTAAAACTTATAGATTACGCCAAGTATTTAATTATAGTAAAACCTAAATCGAAAAAATAGCTGAATCGATAACATCTAGGTATTTACAAGGCATTAAATATATGCATATTTATGGAACAATAAGGCAATTTTTTTAACAAATTTCGATTGTACTTAGTTCATGAAGTTCAACATTATAAGTATAGTATTTAGTCAAGTATGAATGAATGCTTGTACAATACGCATATGTACTAGGTTGAATAAGTTAGGAATTTATTGGCAAGAACTTTGCATTTTAATAGTTTAATCGCACATTCAATTTACGTAGATACCTTATATGAGCTAGGAATAGCTCTAACTTGCAACAAGGATTGAGAGGGTGATTTCTATCCAATACTACTGTTATTTGGAATACCAGACAATTGGTATTCCAAGGCAGATAGGGTTTAACAAAGATAGACCTTTAAGACTTACTAGAAAATTACAATCTAATTTATTGTCGGCGAACTCGCCATTTTTACACCTTTCGGACCTAAAACCGGTTTAGCTACACAAGTCACCTCGTCTATTAGAAATTAACCAAATTAATACCCTAAAGAGATTCTATTTGTACAGATTAGATACAGTCTAATGCTATTAAATTTACTGTAACAGTATTAAAATAATTAATGCTTATTAATAGTTTAACAGATACATATAAAGTTATCCTTCTAAGACATTTCCTCTAAACTTAGGAATTGTACTTTGAACCTTAACAACCTTGGAGGTGATAGATATAATCCAGTTTAGCTGGTTGACAATTACTATTTTAGTCTATGTAATCCTAAATTAAGGATATCAACTGTTAACCACTAAAATTACAATTAAGGAGACTGTAAACATTTCTGAGATATAAACATATATAGAATGTAACATAGAAATAAAGTATACGTCACGAAGATTACTTTCGTGACAATATCGTAAATTAGAAAATCTTTAATGATGTAACTACCATGCAATATGAAACATGATTGATCTTTTAGCAATTTCTAACACTACACTTAGGGAATACTTTTCCGGAATTGAATATGCTATTCATATTAAACAAAGTGGCAATGTACGGTAGTTTTAGGGTATAAATACACGTCCAACTATAAGGCTGAGACATGAACATTCGTAATTTAAAATACTGTACTATCTCCTATTTTATCATTATCTTATCAAATAGCTTGCATTTTACATCAACAATTTGATTTAGAATATTATTAAAGGCGAGCTACTATAGTTTACAATTGATTATATTTACTTGTTTCAGATTGACTTAGCTGAATCTTCTTTGACCAGTTACGAGTACTCACATTCTAGGTAAGTAATGGAAAGTAGATCATTTAAATGTATATAGATCATTTTGTTTAAGCTAAATATTGTCAATTTTTCTCATTAATATTCTTTGATGTTTCTGGAAAATGAGCGGACGATACAGAGTTTCGATGCGAAGGTTGCATTATAGTCAACGGATTGCTTATAAAAATTTCTCTTCCATCGCCAACACAATTTTCATTTTGCCGTTTTCTTTTTAATTCTAGTCTCAGTTGTATTATTTCATTTATTAGCTAAAGAATAATTAATTGATATTATGTAAATTATTGTTTCAAATATAATTTTACCGGTTGGTATCCTAAAGCTCATTGATATCTTATTCAAATTTACACTGCTACTTGCGCCAATGATTCATAAATGAATTAATTAAATCAAGGTGTTAATTACCTGCTCTACATTATCACAATCTATATTTGTGTCTGGATATATCGTCTTTAAATTTGTTGAAGCACTTTTAATCATTCCCTGAACATTATAATTAGCTACTGAGAATGTTGATATTTTCATAGAAGCTCCAGCGCTTTTTAGTTTGTAGACCTAATACGGCATAATCATAAATTTATAAGAGACTTAAATTACTTAGTAGAATATAAATGAAGCTTCACATCTTAAGCTAGTTGTATGCTTAGAAATTGACTTTAGCACTAATTTATTAAAACACTAAAGTACTTTGAAATCAGCGCATTCATCATTGAGTGCATATGCAATTGAGTTAATTAAAGAGTAATTTTAGTCGTTTACCTCAAAATGATATAATCTAAGAGGATGCTTATTTTAAAACATTTTACTCTAGATAATTAGTTAAAGTGAAATACTGCAACATACATAGGAAATGTAGTTGTTTTACCTATATTTTTAATGAAATTATTATTCTAGCGTAATGCGTAATCATATGTTTCTAAAAATTTAATTTATTCCTAATAGAAATAGTCAAAGATCATCAATAACAATAATTAAGCAACCTTTGGTACAAACACCAAGCAAACTGTCACGGTGGTAGGAAAAATGATAAATACGGAAATTAAACCAAAGAATGCGTCTGGTTTATCGTATACTAGAGATGCTATTCCAGCTCCAATGGATGCAAAGATTGCCACATTATAAATTGCTAAGCCAATTAGTTTTGAATCATTAACTGCCATCATTTTGACTTGACGCGTTTGCCAAGCTAATATGGCACCATAAACTAACAGTAATCCGTTAAATCCAAATAGTAAAACATTCCAGACAATTGGATATTTAGAATGACATTGTTTAATCGAAATGATCATTATTCTATCACGGTTATGGCTGAAGTCCTATTAATGTAGACATAAAATGCCGTTAGTATTCTATAGATATAGCTATTATCATAGTATTCTATTTATTGACAACAAACTAACACATAGCTACTAAAATTTAGTATTTAGATGATTATTTAAAGTTCACCAGACCGTATTCTATATTCACAAACATTTATCATACACCCTTATGGTACTTTTGTTGATCATTATAATTCTAGCTAATCACTGACATGTAGATTTACATAAGATGATTATTTTAGAAATCTTTGAAACATAATGCTTACGGGGACTGATTCATTTTTTGTTTCAATATTTACAGGATCAATAATTCCCCAAGCCAACATAATTGAAATATCCACAAAAACAGCAGCGCTTATAATTCCATAAAGTCGGCTATCACGGATTAACTATTTTATTGATGTAGCAATTTAGTTAGAATGTACCATAGAAGTTAGAATTCAATTTATAGGACTTGCAGAAATAATTCATATTTAAAATACGCGATTTATTCCTTAAAATGAGCGACTATCGTAAATTGACAGTTTATATATACTGTAGTTTAGTTAGAAGATCGTTCACGTTACAAATTCAAATATCGTTGTATAGATATAACTTAAGAGTTATTTATTTATAACCACTAAAAGTCTATCTCATATCTTATAAGGTAATTAAGCTTGTGCATGTACATATAATTTAGCCTAATATGCAACTGCAAATTACAGGAAATTACTCGTAACTGACTGATATCAGTGAGTAGTGAACGAAAACTTGCAAGTAATTTTGTAAGTTCGATTAATTATCAAAAAATGAATTATTTCTCTATCTATTCATCTTGTATAAATTATATTTCAACTGCGTTAATAACTATTCGTACAACGGACGATTCAGCTGAAAGTGTAATAATCAGCTAGGAAATTAAAGACATAATTCGAATTGATCTTTTTTAAATACTCCCTATAGTTGACATTATTGCAATTTATTAATTCACCTTGGTCTTAACCGACTTTCTAGCAAAAATGGAATGAATACGCCATGTTTTTGCAAATAATGCTCCAAATCCTAATGTATAACCAATAACTAGAAACCAAGAGCGGCACTGTAAAGAATAAAATCAAATCGTTTACTTGCAGTATATAAAACGAAGTAATTGTAACTATTTTTGCGTTATGTTAGCAAGAACTTATAGCTTTATAGTAATAGAAGTAAAATATATCTTACTGCAATCATTTTATACCATATTTATAATAGAAGACTAACCCAACAACTTGCCAACAGTAAGCCGTTGTGCTGATTTATGTTCTGAGTATTAACACCGAAGAAGAATACTGAAATATAACAAGAAATTGCTCCAATCGCAATGATATTGTTTACATTCGGGCTAGAAATTTTAATGATCCTGTATTAGCATAAACATAGCAAATGTAAAATGTTTAATTGGAGTTGCAAAGGCAATTACTCATTGGGTAATGGGTAAGATACCAATATAAAGTTAGAACTTAAGGTGAAATGTAGCAGTTACCGAATAGAGCGACTTTTAATATTGAAAACCAAGAAAACGATTGTCATTAACATTCCAATGACATCAATGGACAAAATACCAATGAATAGAGGTATAGCAATGCTAGCATTAACAACAATAATTCTTGGACTGTCTACCGGTGTTTGATTGTCTGCATTGACAGGAAGTAATATGAATTCAGTTCATAAAATAGTTGCACAATAATTAATACTTGCCATAGATGATTGATTTGGTAATCAATTACTAAAAGCTAGTTGATTATACTACAGTGCTATTGAAGAAACTATAATTAATTTGCTAAGATTTTTCGAATCTAAGTGCTCACTTGCAGTTTGCCAAGTAATTGCAACAGAGTAATTCCAATTAACTGTCTCCCTTTTATTATCGTATAATCCAAAGATAACTTCTTTGCTGCCTATAGTTCATAACAAAAATTTCAACTTAAAGTAAAACTGAAGACTATACGATTCGTAGGTGCACACTTACAATTTAATCTCAACTATAATGTTTAATTTTAGTAAACTAGATAATGATTGAAATATCTATAAAAATAAATTATACCAATTTGCCTCTTGATGGTAGTAATGCCCAAGCGATCTCCATTTTGGTTAAATGCAACTGGCCCCTTTTAATAGATTTAAATGCAGGTTAAAAATGGATATAATCGATTTCAATACTAATTAAGGGGTAATTACTAATGTTCAATTGATTGCTGTATAACTTTAATATTTATTTTTTAGAAGACTTATAGAATTGTACAGTAAACCAACAAAAAATGAAGACGGAGGATGAATTTAAAGCTTTATAGTAAATCTAAGCGGAACACAATTCATATCAGTCAAAAGCATACGGTTATTCCTATGAATTCTAAAGCTTGCATTTGATCTTTAAAGACCGATAACGCCTCTTTATCGTAATAATCGATGTCTTCCAATGTTTTATTTATTTTTGATAATGGGTTAATGGATTGATTCAATGTTAAAGCTATGGCCCAAACGGAATCGTACGTGAAGGAAGCAAAATCTATAGCTCCAACGTAAGCGCCAGGTCTTTGTAGGTATTTAAAGAATAGTTGGAGCCATTCTGATGATGTCTGTGGTTTAGTAAGTGTGCAAGTAGATCAAGTCAGACTATTTTTTATGTTGAAAGAAAGATATCACACTATAATATATGTTATATGAGATAGAAGTTAGTACCAGCCCGGATATAGTTGATTGAGGACGACTAGATATAGCTAAGGTGGCCATACCAAAATAGCCTTTAACAGCTTTTGTCATAACTGAATCATTGCAATGGTGATTGCCGACTGTAACTCCTTCCCCAAGCGGATCCAGCCACCAGTTTTCTTCAAGCCAACCGGTAATAATCCAAACATATGCAGATCCTGTAAGTCCTAGATGGTATGCCTACACGAATAGAACAACCAGGGTAAGATACTTAACGAAGTATAAAATTAATTTTATCATTTCCTCTTCTAAAATGAATTGATTTATGAACGTTATTAATTAATACCTACTTACTCGACAAAATACTTTACGACCTTGGGAGCTGTAGAATCCTCCCACGATAATACGTGTTTCTGATTTCTGTAGATATAAAAGTCGAAGAGCATTATGCAACTATTTGCCTGTTTATTTGCCTAGAAACTTACATGATGACATTATGTTTGTAGTCCTATTATTACAAAATTTTAATTGCTAGTGAATATCTAGCCTGCGAAATGACGTCTTTATTTCTACCGCGTATTTCAATTTTTGGTATTTTTAATGATAGACTACAGATAGATGATTCTTGCCTTATTTTTTGAATATCTAAGTGGACTTATAGTTATAAATTACATGATCTTAATAAATATAATCATTTACATTATCTCAAGTAGCAGCTCCAGTTCTAACCAAATACTAGCTAAACTTATCAGCGTTTATGTATTTATCTGTATTTATTGCATCATATAATTTACATTTCATCACTGTATCCTTAATAACCGCATAGTCTACATATTTCTACTATTTATTTTGCTGCTTATAATTTTAGTAGGGTACTTAAATGTAGCAATAATATCTTAAGTAATTTCTTATTAATTAATTGTCCTTTGGTTCTGTAGTTATTTCATCAATTACTCTTGATAAGGCACATAAAATTCGTAATAGTAATACTTTAAAACGGCTTAAATGCTCGTTTATTGCTGACTCGACGAAAGTATGGTTGGCTATTATTAGGGTCGAAGATTCATAATGGATATGTTGCTTTCCATTTTAGTCTTAAGATTTCAATTATTTAATAATCGTAGTAAAGGAGTATAGTCTGTCTATCGTAATTTTAATATTATCAAAACTGTAGTTATAGCATTATAACCTGTATTGAAATAAGAGCCTGATAGGGATCATCATCGGAACTAAAACCCAGCGTAGCTGTAACCTGGATTTCATTTTCTTCAGCTACTTGAATCAAAGATGTGGCAGTCTAGAAATTATTCATTTATGCTGTTTACATTACGAAGTATCGATAAAAAATAGCGACAAATTATACTTATACGTACGGCAGAAAAGAGTTCTACAGTTTGATATAGTAAGACTATTTTCTTCCAACCAAAGCGCTTCAATAGCCCTATTCTAGCTGGATTGATTGCAGTTTCAGAAGGATATATTCGAAAGAAATTGCGATATACCGAACGAATACTTAAAGCGGGTGAGGCAGAGGCATATGATAACTAAAATGAGATTTCGTATTACATCAGATGATAATTACTTTAAGGACAGGAGAGTACTGTAAATTATTAAGATTTATGTTTCTAATGATGTTCATTTCTTGCAATTTTTGACACATGTTTGCAAATGAAATTGATTCTAAATTGAGCTAAGATCAATTTTGGAATTATCAATTTCATAAAGCTAGAAGGTTTTTAATTAGAAAATTAGATATGATTATGAAATAAGCGTAACATTCTACTGTTGATTTTGGAATGTTCAGCTGATGCAAAACGACTACTGATGAATTTGTTCAGTTTTTTGTATGAGCTGATAATTTACCTGTGTATTTATAATTTACGTTCATCAAAGTATAAAGCTAACTATTATCAGAGCTGTAGGTATATTTTGCTAGTAATATGTTTGAATACGTCAAATGATTATAGTAATTCAACCACGAAATGTGAAATTGTAAATAATACACAATTTAGAATCTAGTTCCGACCTTTTAAATACACGGCTTTTTATTCAAGATTAATACATTTACTAATGTTAGAGTTTTAAATTTGCCCTGATAGAAGCAAAATATGAGCTACTGTAAGCGAATTTTACTAAATCATTGCTAGTAGACCGGAATTCATTAATTGATCAATCTAAAATTGATAAAAGAATTCTATAATAGATACTATAAATCTACATCATTTTCTATCGCTATTTATAGTTTTCACAAATATTGAGAAATAAAATTTTGAAGGATTTTTAGTTTACATAGCTTATCAACTTCTTAGTATTTGCTTACCTGCAAAAGATCGAAGTATTGAGATGTTTTAGCCATAGGTTGGGTAACCACAGAGCAAGCTGCACCTAACACCATAATTTTTTTAGGCTTTTGATGCAGCTGATCAAATAAAACTTTTAACCCCACTCCGGAATCACACTAAAGTGAGTCAAATAGATTGATTTGATGAGTTCATAAAGCGTAATTATTAGAAATATTTGGAAGCTACTGAAATAGGGTAGAAAGATCACAAGATCGAGGCAAATATAAATAAATTAACGTTATGCCATTTTGAACAATTGTAATTACTTATATGATTATTCACTTACTATCTATAAAAAATGCTTAAAATTCGATACTATAACCTTGGTGAATATCAATTCAAGACTAATTAACCAATCTAATTATATAAAATAATTTAGGGGAAATAATATCGTTAACCACGTAGATTGGTTGGCAATTTCGACCATGCACTAAAGATGAGAAAGTGATGGGTACATTTATCGGTGATAATTATTGATTTTTGCAATTTTTTATTTACTCGAAAGACTAATTTTTTCCTGTATGCACTACATTTTCTAAACATTATTTACTATAGTTAATGGAGGGATAAATGTGATAAACTTGCTCGTATGTATCATTGACGAAATTTTCACTTGATAAAAGTCTGGAGTTAGATTGATTCTAAGGTGGCAAGTTATAGCTAGTTAAAGTCTCTAATTAAACTGTTTCAGAGCATTAAGCATCAATTTTACAGATATGCTGTAAACACAATCTAGTATCTAATTTTGAGTTTGCTATATTTCGCAATCGTCTTATTATAATTACTCATTATATTTTATCATAAAATATGGATGATCGATCTGCTTATATACGTTAAAGATGGGCCCTTCACTTTGAAAATAGCTATTCGCAGATAATTCAAGCTAATTGACTAGTTGATAAAAAATTCAACTATTGAAATGTTTTAAAATAATATAACGAGACAAATAAAAGTAATTACAAATGGGTTAACGATAATAGTTCAAAATTAAAGGTATTTATTAGATACTCCTGATGTTTATCTATTGATCATCGATTTCATTGTTCTACTCGTAAAATTATAGATTACGGCAATCATTTAATAACGTACGAATGGATCTGATGCTATCTGACATTCTTCCATATTCTGCAGCTCGATGAGTATCTACTGGTGTCTGTCGAAAGTGATTTGCCTAGCAATAGTGCCATTGGCATTTAGTATAAACTTTTAAAAAGAGACTTCGACAATCATATTATTTCATTAGAATACGTTTATACTGCAGTTGTGAATATTCTATGTATTTGTTATTCAAGTTACCACCCTTAAAATATGCGTAGTAGCAGTCTAGGGTGCAATAAAGATCAAGCAGCCTTGTCATAGTTACTGTTGGTTACCAACTTAAGCTTTGGTTTTTGTATTTAGTAGAATGGGTACATTGCACTGCAATATTAATATTATTACAGGAGCCAGATATTCTGATCATTTAGCATCTACTATTGAAAAAAATTTATTGTGGAAATGTCAGACTGCATGGAAAATACTTAGGAATAGACTAAAGTACATCAATGCTGATTTGTATAATATTTAAATCTGATATTAAGAACTCTGTCAATGTTTAGATACCAAAGAAAACTGCGCTTTGACTCGAAAGGACTATTTAATTGATTTCTAGAAAGGTAAGTAGTGTAAGAAATATGCATTAATAGTAATTTTAAAGAATACTATTTGCTAATGTAGCATCTAGGAATTCGCAAGTATGACACAAGTTATTTACTGGTAGCATTACATCGATGAAATAACGGTCATTGAAAATATCATCTAATATTTTTGTGTGGAAGGTAATAAATATTGTAAGACTATCTAGGAAGTTTAATTGGATTTAGGTAAAAGGGATAAATTTGATCGTACAGTACTTGTATTAATTTCTTGAGATAACTGACGGCAAACTTCACGTTGGCAATAAAATGATATACTTATTCGTTTAGGGTGATATAAATTATCTTACAGGCATAATAAAAGAAAAATGATACCAAAACATCCAAACATCCCCAGCTACTCAGATCAGCGAGTCTGATTTCATTATCATATTGTAAAATGCTAAAAAAATAGGCTGCTATTCGTTGATTTCGTAAAACAGTCAAACAAAAGAGAGTGCTTTGTCACTTCGTTAAAAGTTATATAGAAGTTGATATAATGTCTAAATATTGAATAATGACATTCACGAATAATTTCCTGTAAGTACTTTATCTTTGCTTAGAATTGGAATAATAGATCATTAAGTCAATATTGTATACTTATCATAACGCAAAATCAATCCCGGCTGTTTTAGAATATTGAATGAAATAGATAATTTGATAATGTTGTTAAAGTTGCGTTATGCTATATTATAGATATAGAAAAAGAACAATTACGAAAGCCATAAAGACTTTCAAATTGTATGAAGTCATATCGCCATGGCATAAATTAGCATATTATAGCTAAACTATCGATAATTGGATTTTATCAATAGAAATACACTTTAGTGGTAAAAAATTTGGAATGATGTCGAAGATTTTCCTAAAATATCATACTCAGTACATAGATAATGCAGTAATCTATAAAAGTCTGCAAAATAATATAGATAACGGTATTATCAGCGAACATCAAACTATGCTATCTAACGAGAATAAGATCAGCATTAGTCGGTGATAGTCACCATGCAACACAAAGGAGTAAGGAGGAATAGTAATGCATTTGTAAAGAAATTGATCAGAAATAAAAGGTTCTTTCTGTTTTACCATAGCAATATCGCAAGTCCGACTAATACTTAAGAGAGATTTACCTCATTATCCATCATAAAATTATTTCTCAATTAACATTAAATACGTGGTAAGATTCAAAACGGGTGATAGAAAGTATACATAGAATCCCTGCCCATCGATAAATTAGATTAATTTTTCTTACAATAGTGACAAGTGTAGCAGGTAAATATGGTGACGGCACCGTAAAAATATCTTTCTAAGAAAGCAGGGAGCTTCCATCGACTAAGGAATGGAAGTTTAAGGGAGACTATTGAAAAAAATATTCGAATACCTAAGTTGGTAGATAAGCCAGATAAAATACCGGTGTTAAATAGAGGATAGAAATTTATATAAGAAAATAGAATTAGAGATGAAGATTGATAATGAAATTGATATTCTTATGTAACGACTTAAAAATTTTCATTTTGAAGACTGACTGTTCATACAAGTGTAAATTTGTTAACAGATTATTTAAATTTCTATTGCTATTACATAGAGGTTCTTATGATATTCATGACTACGATCAAATGTAATAGTGGTCAATCGAGAATAAATTAAATAAACACGACTGCGGTAATTTTTATGGCCTGAATCATCCATTATCGATGGCCGTCGATTGTGAAAAGATCCTATAAAATTTTCAATAAATTTAAAATAATGCTTACCTTAGTATTACCCCAATTCATGGCCAAAGTATAATTCGATAATATATTTGACTGGTTATTAATGTGATCTAAGGCTAGCATTGCTCCGCTAACGGTACTACCACCATACCATCCTCCATCGACACTAAATGAAGCAGCTAAGGTTAAAACTGATTGATTCTGAGTGACATTAATTGCTGGATAATTATGCAACTGTTGGCCTTTACAGTAGGATATTTCAATCATCCATAACATAAGTGAAATATAAGTCCACATTTCTCTCTAGTTTACTGTTCTTGAAAGAAGTAAATTAAAGAATTGTGATCAAGACCAATATCTTTAAGTATAATAATGACTTCCAGGTCTTGCGGGGAAAGTCTGTTTGGCCTAACTTTTATCTGCAATTTACTACTTGCTTCTTCTTGTCGCTCTATTTTGGATTTCTGTAGTACTGTAATTTATCATACGATATTTTATTTTGGTATAGCTCAAATTGGATGAATTAAAAATTTTCAATTCAAATTTAATGTCTATTAATTTAAGTATTAGATGGATATATGAATCAATAAAGGATTCCAGCTTGCAGGATTGGATATCTCCAACTATTAAGTAGACTATAATTTGTATTGTAATTTTGGAACAATGCATGGTATTTGTACAGCAATATTATTCGTCTTATTGTATAAATTTTTGAAAATCTAGTAACATGTGACGTATTGCAACATTATTCAACTACTTTCAAATTCATCAATCAATGTATAACTTACTTATTATTGTAAAGTACTCATTAGTTATTATGCTATGGTCCTGTTCGTCTATCCTATATAAACAATCCTTAATTAGTTGTAATTAATTATTAATATTGCCTTAGACAATCTTTTGAAATATCCAGATCGTGACTATAAGAACTGACTGCTGTCACTCTTACAGATTGGAAATAAACATCGCTAAAATTGATCGAGTACTTTATCACCCTACTTATTGCATTCTGATGAGGAGATATGCAGAGCAACATACATAGAAATACTACTACATAGGATCGACACTGCTGACTTTAATATTGCCTGGATCTTACTAATTATATAATATTACGTAATACCTATGACCGAAAGGGAAATTAAATGACATTGACATATTCGTCAAGAAAATACAGCATACGAAGCAAATCAGATGAGCATGCTTTAATAGCATAATTGAACAATCAAATAGAATAATAATGTTACTTTCGTTCGATATGACTTATCTTTAAATTATCACAAAGTATTATCCTTTATATTGATGATCGATAGATACCTTCACATTTTACAATTATGCAATTTATATCAGTATCTGAAGATAATCTAGCACATAGTCTGCTATCCGCATGAATTAGCAATGAAAATATAACAGTTACTTTAATACTCCAATTCCGACTTCTTCGTCTAGCAAACAGATTTTTAACTTGTATTTATATTTAAAGTTAACGTAATAGAGTTAAAATGACACAATTTATGTCGGAAAGCCTCCGAATCCTTTCGCATGCTTTCGATCAGAAAGAAATTTCCTGTTGTGATTTGCTCTAGATGATTTATGTCTTTCCTTATTACGTCTATCTCTCACCTCTAGATAAACAATTATAAAAAAATTTTTAGACCTGAACATTTAGGCAATTATCATGAGAGACGGTCTTTGTAAACGCGTACGACTTTGACTTAAATATGGCAGGCTAGTAACATAACTATAGATGGATTACAACGAATTAACAATTCTAGCTAGTAGTAGCAGAAGGAGCACCTTAAAATATTATTTTATGAAGGGTAGCAATGAGCTAATTATACAGTATATATTACTGGTAAGTCAGTTCTTACCATTATTATTGCCATTAGTGTTATTCCGTTGATCGTTACCACTACGATTAGATTGTTGCCGCGCACCACTACGCTTATTATTATGGGCACTGCCATTGGCTATATTGCCGTCGGTGGCCTATAAAATAGTAAAACAGCACTCTATTACTATCGCTGGAAGAGATGAATGCTTTTCACGATTTTAATTCCTTACAGTAAGGTGCAAAGTTTTTCAGTTATACAGGTGACAGTACAATATGTGGATTATTTATCAGATAAATTATACCTTGTTTGGTTTAGCCTGGGTTTTCGCATTACTAGTGGCAGTCGTATGGATTGTATCAGATTCTTGGTTGTCAGATTCATCGTCTTCCGCATCTCTCGTATTCTGCAACACCCTCGGTGTAACGAAAGGTCTATTTTTAAAAGGAACCGTAGAAATCATCAATACTGACTAGTAAAAACTCCTTTAAGGGAGTATTTAAAATCTTTATTCGGCAACGTTTATTCATTATAACAAACCTGCGTTGTATTAGGTCATCGTCATGTCTGACAGCGTCGGCCGTAACGGCGACTTCAGCGTCATCGTACGTGTCATCATACTCGTCCTATAAGTCAGTATGTAAGGAGGAAAAGTTTTACTCGATTATAATAGTCTATACTAATATCTAAATTGCAGCCAAAGTAACACTATAAGAGTTTGACAGATACGCTACATCGTATTCATCGAATCTTTCGAATACGCCCGTTCTTCGCATAATTTCGACAACAGAAGTATCATTCAGAAAATCATCTACGCTCTTATAAGAATTTCTAGCGAGGTAAATTGAAATAAATATCATGATTTTATGCGGACACATTAATAAATGACTTCGTGCAATAGTCGAAAAATTACTTTTTTCCTCGATGAATTCGAGAAATATCAACATCATCCCTATGGAACACGTCAAATTCATCGTAATCGTATACAGAAGCACGTTCGCTTAGTTGTGGTTTAGAGTTGCTATTAACGTAATCCTCTCTATAATGATACAGATTATAATTACACATGTCAAAAGTTGGTTAGTCCATAATGTAATCCAGAAAACTTTCAAAACGTTTTTCAACGAGCCTAGATAAATTCAGATCAAGTCGTTTTAACGAGGCTGATAATTGATCTTCTAGTATGGCATCAATAACTTTATCGACATCGCCATTGTACTCATCTAAAGATGCCTAAATTGATCAACAATTTATAAGAATGAGCCAAATTACCGAATATTAATTTAAGAAATACAACAGTCGTAGATTAGTTTTGAAAAAAGAAAATCGAAGAATACAAGGATACTTGTATATGCTTACCATAACGAAGCCTTCACCTAAGTGTGGGAGAATATCACGCACTCTTAGAATAGCAGTTTCTACATTGATTTGTGAATCGGTTACCTACATTGCATTAATCATCAAAACTTAAGGATGTACTTCAGGCAGAAAAATGTGATCAACGTCTTAGCATTTACGTTAAAAAGCCTTCCAAAATTACCGAAGCAACTGAGTCCTCAATTTGGTTATCCACGTAACCAGTGGCAACTTCTTCGGTTTCTGCAGGCTTATTGCTATCGCATAAAAATGATACTTCCTGACATACTTGAGCAATTGCTTCAGAAAAGTAATCTACATTTGATTGATCTCTAAATTTAATTTACATGCTAGTTAAAGAAATTAAAATAAAGTGCTTGTACATCTATTAGCAGGAAAATAGTTAATAAATTGGTTATAGATTTATAAAAGTAAGGATACATATTGCCGGAAGAGTGAAGACGTTGAAGATCATCTTTAATGCTAAATAATCCATGATAGCTCGCTATAAATCTAAGATTAAACACACCATTACTATTTACTTTGCTTTACGTGACACATCGCTATTTCAAACACTGTCATACTACACCTTTTATTTGCCAAGACATCAGCAATAATCTGTAAAAATTTGTTTACAGTCTTTTGTCTTTCGTCTTCATTTACACTGCAGTACATTGAAAATAATTGTATAATTTGTTTACTAATATACTAACATGTCTGTGTTCATCGATATGCGCCTAAAAGGATGTCAATAACGAATGATACCTAGTTACGACTGGATCCAGATAACAGGTAGTGAAAATGTATCGACATATTGTTATCGTTTGAATTTGTGATGATTGTAATCGGTTGTACACCAGACTGAAATCAAGATATTTCACGATTAGAATCAAGTAAATTGCCTCTTAGCTGTAGTATGCAGAGAGGTTTACAATTATTGCTAAATATGATTTTGCACTATCTATGCAGACCTTATTTGATTTAGATTTGTTTCTGCAAAACGATGGTAAAGTGTTGGAAATATACTTTCGTACATGTCAGCCAACCTATTGTAGTAACACAACAAACATGTCCAACATCAATTATTAGTAAAAGGTAAAAATAACGCTGATTTTTATGTCAGAAACCTGCGAATAAAGTCGTTTTCAGATAAAATACTTGCTGCTTTAGGATAAACTTCTAAAAACGAGCATAGTGTTGCCATGGTATCCGATAAGAGGAGAACTAAGTCTGCAACTTCAGTTCTAATCATTTCTATACTCCTACAATAGGTATTTTACAACAACACCTTTACTTTACAAATGCTATATATACGTAAAGTAGTGTAAAAAGTGAAAAGATTATGTGTAAACTTAAAATTTATAGTCCATTAAAACGTTATCGATGATTAATGACAAATGCCAATATATGCTTTCACATAACTATCGATAACCATCTGCTGACTAATGATAGATTACCGTGATTGAATTCGATTGTTGCGAGAGTTTATATCTGCTATTGCGGCTACGATGCCATCAAGCACCTGTACATCAAGTACATCAATTGTAGTGTTGATAAGTTAAATAATAAAGAAAAATTTCATTCGTTACGATCAATGATGAATTATTTTGAAGATAGTATCAACCTTTGTAAATGTCGGAATACAAATCTTTAAATCGTTAATATATCTACCACAGGAGAAAGGTAAATTTTACATATTAGAATCAATATAAGTCAAGCCAATCATTTCTATGACACTAATACTGTACCGTATATTGTCGATAGGTTCATAAAATAGACTTACTTTGGTTGACTGGTAAATATATTGTCAACCATTTTTTTGATTAAGGCTTCGTTAGCAGATTGGTAAAGCAAACATATATCCATGATTTTGGGTATATCAAATACATAACAATCATATATGATTTGGCCGAATTCATGTGGAGAAAAGTAATGATTCTAAATTGACGATTGAAATATCAACAATAGGAGTTGAGTTTAAAGCAATTTTTAATGTTAGAAAATAAGGAGACATGAATTATCAATAATAATGATTGTTATTGTGACTGGTATACTGAATTAAAAGTCAATCCAGTACGAAGTGGAGTACAGTTATTACGACTATTTATTGAATGACAATCAGCAATCTGGTACTACCTTGGATTCTTTATGAGTAGACAGTCTGAGTAAAACTATGAAAACGAGCCGATGTACCCGCCGATGAATATCAAGAATCTGTGATGGTAGTCGCTTCCATTCTTCAAGACAGCGTGGAGCGCGACTTAAATAAGAATCTAAAAATCTTCTAATAGAGCTATCATGTAAGACCTAAAAATAATAAGATAATTCATTATACGATCGTTTATTATCATGGAGTGAGCATGTCAATGAATAATTCAGCTATTGCAGCTATCAGGTTAGGAATAGACGAGATAATATACACGATAAAACAAAATGATTGATAGAATCAAACACGATACAGTAATACTGTTATCACTTATTGTACACGTCTAATGCAGTAACCTGAGTCCAAAATTGTGGATGAGATAAATGTAGGAGTTGTTGTAAGTCTTGCTCAAGTAATTCCATGGTTTCAATCCATTCACTTTCTATACCGTCGATGTCGATGTGGGAATGAAGATCCGTACGTTGGCATAAATAATTTGTAACCGATCGAAGTGGTCCAGGTAAGGAATATTCAAGTAAGTTTAAAGGCTGAACCGATGCTTCTACCTAAAAACGTATTTAACATAGGCATCATCAACATTATGCATGGATTTCAACCCCAGCCACATTGTCATTCATCAATGCATACCCGTATACCGTATCTGTTAACATACTAAAATCGATTACACTATATCGTTGGTTACGTTTCATCATGGCCATTGATTAGATTAACTATATTCGATTTAGGTGTAGAGCACTTTTGCCTACTATAAAATCTCTTTGGTGTAATCCTAACAAGTAACAATTATCCCATGCGATCCAATCTCGAGTGTCTACAGTACTACAGTGGTTGGATATCGCCTTCAATGGCATGACTCAATCTGGCTGGAATTGAAAATGATTTTATGACTGACCTTTTTGGATAGTAGTGTCTTTTTCCAATCACTTTGGCTTACAGCCTCAGCCATTTCTATGTAATTATTGGATATCACGATCAGAGAGACTGGGTAAAATGATGTATTCAAGTTAGCAAAGTAACTACTCCATGTTGACCAAGAAGAGGAACTTTATTATTAAGCAAAGAGCCACTTGGGCCTTTCTCCGCTTTCGTCATCCGAGCATGCTCAGAAGTATTTAGTCCATCTTTTCACTATTATAGTACGTATACACGTCTGCTGTGACTCAGTATTTGTATAGCATGGATGATGTCAGCAGACATTTCTATTGGCGTCTCGTGACTACAGTACCCGGTACAGTGTGCAGTACACTATCGTCATGCAAATTAGCTGCTCATACTAATAGCAGTGCGGTGTACGATTTCAGTAATAGCGTAGAGTAGAATGACTAGAAAAATAGTCAGCCTCGTCATTGACTTACTGTCATCTGCACAGTGCATACTTCCACAGTATGTACTGTACACTCAAGCACTTTTCGTATTGTAATCATTGAAATAGGACCAGGACTGGACCGGAACGGATCGGACCGGACTGTGCTGAGGGCTACTCTTGTACATTCCCGACCAGTCTTGGCCGTGCAGCCTAAACCAAGCTGAAAATGAAGATGATGGAGGTCCGTAGATAGTCTTGAGATAGTCTGATTGCAGCTAGATCGTCCTTGCTAGTTGTATCATCAACCTAATCTTATGGAATACTGTAAAGTCAAGTTTGCAAGAAACTATAGTTTTGGTTGTATTTTTGACAAGACACTTTGTCACAGGCTCGCGTTAGCATGCTACTACAGCTCAACTTTTGCGGCAAAACATGCAATCATGGACTACGAAATTCCATGCTATAGTCTATAGGTTATATATATATACTGTAGAACATTCTATCAAGTGTCCTATATACTGGAGATTCTTATTTCAGGGACATTCGCACGTACAGAAATAATGTTAATAATTCATTTAGATCAAATCCAATTTCAGCAACTTTGCAAAATGATGTTTTGACAAGTTTGCGGCTCACCGTGCAGTAAATAGTACAGCATGGTAAAATATTATACAAAGAGTAGAGTACATAAGACTTGCGGACTGATTGCTGTCGATAGCCATTTTGGTGTCCCTTTCTGTAGTCCAGCTGAAATCTTAAAAAGGCGCAAGTAAATATAGTATGACATAAACCTCTGTGGTAGGAATGTAACAAGTTGTGTGCGTGCACCAAAAACACGACTACGGATTATTACTGGTACTGTACTAAATTGTCCATGCTGCAAGAACGCTATAAGATACATGTCGGATCTATCGCGAGTTGTAACGACTATTGCAATAAAGTGCAAAGACTTCATAACTGTGATAAGTTTGACCGGCTTTTAATCCTTGTTTATTAGCGGACTAGTTCATAAAAGGTAATAAAGAGTTTATCAGTAAAACAATTATTAAAAAAAGTAGCTAGATAACGGTAGCTAGATAACGGTATACGAGTATAGTATACTCATATGCTAGTGCCATGATCATAATCATAACTGTGAAAGAATTTGACTGGCCATTAAACTTTGTCTATGACTGGATTAGTTGAAAAATGCTGATCAGCCTACGGAAATGGATATTACTGGTTGTTCGTCATAGTATTTAAACACTACTTGAATGTTTTTATTAAACTTCTTATATTCATGTTGCTGGTGTATTTGCAAGTTGTAGAATTGAAATTTAGCTAAAAGTGAAAAAGAACAGACCAAATAGAAACTATTCCGTCATGTTCCTTTATCACATCAATAGCAAAGATTGCTATATAAGCTTGGTATTTGCCTACTGGCCTGACCAGTTTATATTTCAATACTAAAAAAGATTCACATAAAATAAATTTTGAACTATCTTAATCTACTTGATTAACAATAGTAAGTCATTGAATTATCATTCGCAGCGATGAAACACAATTGAGCTAGAATATTGTAGCATCCTAATTCTGTCATTAAGAGTTCATCAATACAGAGATCGTCATAAAATCGGGAAATTGGTATTAGAAAACGAGAGTTAGGATTCTTAGCGTTGTTTATTTTCCATTTATATACGATTAGAAAGTATTAGCGGGTAAAATTAACAAATCATATCAATTATAAAGGATTTCCTCGGAAACCTAATATACAATCCTAGAAAATAAACTTGTATCAAAAGAATTAAATCATTAAAATCTTGTTCTAGACGGTGAAAATGTTATCTTCTCGGTTATAGTTTGAATGAATTTCCTCTTCTGCCTGCCATATTGTCCTTAAGTTTGTATAGATTATGTAGGAACAGTAAGGAAGAACGCCTGAGGGGCTATGATTGTTCTCCGTAATTAGAAATTCTGAATCAAAAGTAAATCAATGTATTAATTGATGTTTCCATACCTCCAGGAAAAATAGTATTGTTTTAGGCATTATGATTGAAAAGATGCCATTTTTGAGTTGAATACAATTACTACACTAGGATATACAATAGCAGCCATGACTAAATAATTAGGTTGTGCTAAGCGATTCTACCATGGTTGCCTTAGTTGTCAAATTGTAGTGCGTCCTAGTCATGAGTAACAGACAAGTAAAGGGTTCTTATAATTTTCAACCGATGCTGCCCATATCCATTAGGTAGGCGGCGTCTAATAAGGACGATATGATTTTAACAGTACGAAGCGATTTCAGATAGAAGGACGAGCATTGATCCAGATTAGTAGAGGTGTTATTGGGATAAAACTACGCTAAAATTGGTCAACTTGCTGTAAATTATTGAATGGTTTAGATTCTTAACCTTGGCGTAAGTAGAAGGCTGAACTTGTGATAAAATCGACTATTTACGTCTAATTTAAATCTTATAGGACTAATCTTCATTGATATTGGGCTCTAACGAAAGAATTTATTTATTTGTAAAGATACAAACCAAAACGATGCAGTTTATTAATTTATTAACTTATGATTAGTTACTACTGAAGTGATGATAGAAACAAGTAAGCTATGCGTAATCGCAATGCTTAGAGCATAGTAGTTATCTCGTAATATTGCAAACGTAAAATATGGGGCGTTAGAAGAACTAATTCTTGATGACATGATCACTTTAGAAGCAAAATGATAGATTACTTAATAGAGTTGTGATAACGTTTTCTATCCACACTTTCGATCTTAAAAGTAGTTGCGATCAATGATCGTTAAAATCTTATGTATTCACAATCGTTGAAGACAATATTTTGACCTTAATATCGTTTGAAAACAAACTCCAGAATTAATAAGAAACTATTACAGTCCAAAGCCAGAACTACAAAGTTATCCTCTACTATTTACCTAAATTCTAGTTTATTAAAAAGCCATTAGTTAATTGATTTGACTTGGTTACACTAGTAGGCCTCCAAGCAAAGACAGATGTTGAGCCCGCGATTTTTTTCTATATACTTCATCGCAGTCTATATTTCCCCCTTTGAAGATAGTTATTTACTTCCATATCCAACATTCATAAACTAATGTCTGGGAATAAATTACACTTGCAGATAGCATTAGATAGTATCGTTTAAAATTATCGTCAACAGATTTCGATACATAATCTAATTTATTCTATTATTATTATTAACTGCATATCCAGTCAATTTACTTATCGTAGATCCGTAAGGTATTTTAAACATAAAGTCTTGGTTATTTCATACAAGCAATTCGTGCATTAAACACCAATAGTCTATCCCATTTATCGACGTTGTGATCATAATCCTCTTTACATAGCTGATCTCTTATTGTCAATATTTATACATTGACACCTGTAGCAGTGAGGTTTACTTGCTTCCTTGAAGCAAGTATAACTTACTTTTATTTCTTTTGATTATAGCTTACAAAAGTAGATGATAAATCAATTCTATCTGAAACCTTAGTTATCGCACGCTATGATATTTACTATTTAGTAATACGAATATAATTCACTTGACTACTGTTACAAGTTATAATTACTAGTCTTGTAAACAACATGATGAAAAGTATTAACATTCAAGAGCCTAATACTCCTGTGAATTTAACGATGGATGTTATGTTTGCTCAAATCGAATAGTTTCTCGTTGCATTTTAGGCCAATGCAGTTGATGACTATTAGAAAATGAAATTGTCAGATTTAAAACATATTAGGAGTGTCAATATATCCTTCAATAGTGACTTAATTAAATCTATCACTGTAAAGTAAGAAAATTTACCGTTTTTTTAGAAGTTGCAATAGACTTGGTCATAGCCTTAATCTTCTATGAGCAATTCAAGCTAATTACTCCATGTGACATAAAAATTTACTCCAATACACGACGACTACACATTCATATTTAATTCAATATTTGTGGTAACCCTTTCAAGTAGCAGTACTTAAGCAATTCTTGTTCAAGATGTGATAGAAAGAAAATACTTAGCGATGATTTTTATTTACTATATTAACACTACTAGCTCTGATTAGCTACAGAAAGTTATCATCCATGTCGGAAAATACCCACAAACCCTCTGGCCAGTCTACACTGCCATTTCGACAGGAAGCATTTGATTGGGATGGTCGACCATCTATAAATCTACTTGAAGAGAGGAAAAGACTATTAAGACCGAGGAAAGCAAACTCGAGATTACCATCTTATTGCTGCAGTGTGCGTTATTTTATGTTTTTCATGGTCATTTTCTGTGGAATAATCACCATGGCCACAAAAATCAATTTAAGTATGACTATCGTAACGATGACATATCATCCTAATGATATTCCCCCGCTGGAGAATTCGGTAAGCTGCTTTATCATCCATCATATTGCTTTTATAACATTTTATTAATAAAAGCTTGACATCATTGATCATTAATTGATGTAGTAACGTAAATCAAACTTAATTCACGATCGAAATGCTCTGGAAAACTTTTATATGTTGCCATTTTACTCTTAATTCAGGTATGTTCTCTTTCTAACTTCTTCGCTATAGATTTACTTTTTAAATTGGACATCCACACAACAAGGTAAGATGGTCTCAGTGCCCTGTTGAGCAGTCGATAATCGGCAAAAGAGATCTAAAGGAACCAAAATCGATTGCTTTTATATTTGACACTGAAAAATAAGAACAATTTAATACTAATGTATTTAATAAAATTTGAGTCTTTTACTCAATACTAGACTTGTATTAAACGCCGTGACATTAAGCAGTAATAGTAGAGTAAGAAACCTTTAAGACAAATATTAATGTACTATTTATGATCTATGTATATTTACTTAATCATGAGGCCATAAACATTTCATTTTTAGTCAGTACAATTTCATGTAAGACTGCTGAAACTATTATTGCCGTATTAATCAATTTCGTAGTAGAAAAACTTTGTTCATACTATATCTTACCGAACGATATAACTTTAATTCAAAGATAATCTCTAATTTTTATTCTAATCGACCATCATGATAGTCGTGCAAGTAGTTAGAATCCTACTGCATTTTGATAATTACTATGTGATAGACAGCAGTTACTTCCTGATTTAGAACTGTTGTGGCTTATTTCGTCAGAATCTGATAAACTTCGCTACAATTTCGCATACGAACTTATATTGAGATATAACCATAATTGCGATGTACTATTCGCTATCATTCTTAACGAATTACTCCATCAATCGATCCTCCATACCTTTAGGTATTGCGCTTAGTGCCGTTCATTATGGCCAAATTGTTATGCAGTTACCTGGAGGATGGCTAGTTACACGAATAGGTGGATGGAAAGTTTTGTTAATTGGCATATTTTTGAGTTCATTATCGACCATCTTTCAACCATTGGCGGCAATGTATAATTTTACATTATTCGTAGTCTTACGAGTATTTGCGGGCCTCTGTCAGGTAAGCCTATAACACCTATATTATACAAGAATTCTATTACAAGCATTTATCATCTCCATCTTTTAGCTAATAACTTTTGAAACTATGTTCACGAAGATTATTACTGTATCGCTTGTCATTATATTCCCAACTTTACTCCTAATCACTTAATTGAACCATGATTAGGATAGTCTGAAAAATTGATTTCTAACCACAGAAATAGTACATAAGCCCTATCATGCCACATTTGAATCGATAACCTACAAGCAGTACTGTTGATATAGCATTCTTTACGTAATTAATACAGCAATAGACTTAAACCTTTATTTAACAAATGCTATTGTCGAAGAAGGATAGAGACAAAATTACCCTCATTCATATTGTTTAAAGCGTAGCTTGCAAACCCTACAGTAACCTAAATTAAGTTAACATCTATCTATTGGGGAAGCGATTTATTAGCAAAAGTACCGTACGGTAATAATATATAGATAGTTCTTACTGCAAATTGAGTCAATTATGGACCACTGGTTATCATATCTTTCATTGATTACCTATCCCAAGTATGGCCCTGTAAATGCTTACGTAGTGGTAGCAACACCTGATGTTTTGATGAAGGAATGCAATTAAATTATACATAACCATAAAGTTCTCAGCTTGATATGTCAATAATGTGGAGTTTTAAGTCACGGTTAAAATTTTGCAGACAGAATCGTTCCTAACCTTAGCAGTGATGTGCAGAAAAAAAAATAATCTCTATTTCTTCCGGAAAACAACTACTGTAACTAATCCTTTAGCATTTATTATTCCTCAAGTGGTCAAGTAGTGAAAGCCACAATTAGGTGTCTTATTTCCCATCCTTTGAATCAAATTTCTTTCATTCTGATGGCTTTCGTGTCAATATCTTATTTACAGTCTGATAAATTCTGATCTATTCGTTTTACCGGTACTTGAAATTTTTTATGTTATTTCTTGCATAAAGACTCCTTTCCATGCTGCTGTGAATGATCTATGGAGTCGGTGGGCTTCTCCTCAAGAAATAACACGTTTCTCGGTAGCTCCAGCAATAGGTATGTGAATAATCTGTGATGCACCATATCTCTTTAACAGCAGAGTTCTGTATCTAGCTTGAAGTAAATATTTTTCTCTGATTTGTTTACTGATCACTTGCAGGAGAAACGATAGGATCATTTATGACCATCTATTTTTCTGGATATGTGCTGTATTATTTTAGCTGGCCTACCGTGTTTTATATTTGCGGTAAGAGAATATATATTTTGAAAAGATTCTTGAATTATCTGAAAATAAATAAAGCTCTATTTAATGTTTCTTATCAACATGAATTCGTCGAAACTCTTATAGGTGCTACAGGAATAATTTGGACCATGATCTGGTGCATGTTCTTTACAAACTCACCAAGTATACATACATTTATTTCTTATGATGAAGCCGAATACATCCAAACCACGATTGAAGATAAGCAAGGACCATTGGGATATCAGGTATATTTTATAACGAGGAACTTTTCCAAAGGCAATTGAATTCGATAGCATTAGCTTAGTAGCGGTAACCTTCAATAGTAATGAACGTATTTTATCTTTTATAATTGCTTTGAGCTACCATTTTACCAAATTAATAAAGTTTATCGCAAGCCAGTACGAATAGGCTCTAGATTTCGTATCAGCGTTAAATAATATTATGTTATTTTGATCATACTAATTTATCCATGATCATACCTTCACTAAATTTTAATTTGGTTGGTAATAAGGCTAGTCATAAATGTATCAATACATCACCGTTACTTAAGTGCTATGATTAAATCTGCTGTTTATTTACAAACAGTAAAATCAGAGATAGTTTAACTTACTTGCCAGAAATAATTCTCTTTACCAAGAATATCTGCAGTATATTACTACAGCAGCTACAAATCCTAGCTCCCGCTTAATTTAAATATTTGCAGCTAATAAAACTAGTAATATAAGATTTACGTTTATTACATTCTTGTGGAATTAAACTCATCATTCTGATTATTTACTGCCCCTTTCTGTCTGTAATCATAGCCATACAAGATACCCTGGAGCTCCATTTTGTGCTCAAGACCTATCTGGGCTCTTGCACTGGGAAGCTTTGGTTTAGGCTGGCTTAATAGTATGCTGATAGCATACTTTCCTATACTATTTTATATTTTATACGACAAAAAAATTTATTCGGTAGGTTTATCATTATGTCGACTAACACATTACGAGATAATAAATATTGAACCTTTTCATTTATGAATATGTTCACTGATTCTAATTACATTTTTTTAACAATTAATCGTATAAATTTCTTTCAGATTGGATTACTATCATGCATACCATTCTTTCTCCATGCAGTTTTCATGTTACTATTTAGCATATTAGCTGATAAATTAATTCAGAATCACTTCTCTAAGACCGCTACCAGGAACGCGTTTCTATTGTTAGGTAAATAATACTCATTTGTCTTGCAGTCGCTATAAGCCTGCTTTTATGTTATATTTATGGAAAAATCGATTATAATCATTCAAAACACAGCCATGAAGAACATCGCTTTGATCATGTTGATATATAGGCTCCATTGTGCCCGCTGGTAGTCTAATGTTGATGACCTATAGCAGTGATCAAGGTATCCTTATTACAGCCTTGTACCTTATCGTTATTATCGAAGCAGCAATGTATTGCACAATCATGGCCAATCCACTTGATATAGCACCAATCCATGTTGGAATTATTACGGCTTTTATTGACATTTTCAGTAGCTTAGCATCGGCTATAAGTCCACTAATAGCTGGTTTTATTATAGAACCTGAGGTAATTGTTTTGCTTATTTGCTAGCTTTCATTAATGATAGCCAGATTAACTAGGTTTTCTAATTCCCTGAATGTACGCTGCACTGATATGGCATGCTTGATTTAAAAATTGTCTGTTGCTGTAGTGTGGTATCTAAGTTGCAATTTTCTATAATATACAATATCGATTAAAATTTGCTCTACCTGTGATTTGTAGAACATACACAGTTGGCATACTGTTTTCTATGAAGTTGGAGCAGTTTTAACGGCATGCAGCCTCATTTACCTAATGTATAGTTCAGCTGAAATCCAGCCATGGGCAGTATATAGCCTTAGCAAAGATCTTACCATTTATAGGACCTTAAATTCAGATGAAGAAACTGAAGAAACGCCAATTTCAAGCATATTTAATGATTGAAATCCGACCAAGAGTAAATAGCATTTGCATTTCAATCTATGATTACGAAACTTCACAATTTCTGTTATATTTTATTAAAAGGTGAATACCTAATTACTTTTAATTAAAACAACGAAGGTTTAAATAATGAAATGCTTTATAAAGTATTTGTATTTCGGTACTGAGTACAGGTGATAAATTAAATTGAACACCGTTTTAATTTAAATGGAGCATGAAAGGCCTAGAATATAACTTAATTTCTTATTTTTCAGCTGTTGTAAATGTAATTTAAATTGTTTGCGAAATAACATTTGCATTAAATATTCCTAATGAACTTTCAGTCAAATCGCAGCTGATATGGTCCCGATCTAAATAATATAAAAAAATATAATCTCTGCGTGACCTTCAATTATCACCCCCTTTTCATGTCTTGACGTATATATTGCCTTACTTATCCTCTCTTTATCAGATAGGTTGCTGTCTATTCATCAATAACATCGGTTAAATTTACAGATTTGATTATTATTTATATGTATCCGTAGACGGTACGATTTATATCAAACGATTACTTTAAAAATATAATTTATTACGCACTAATATTTTCTGGACTATTGCGCATTTAGTAATTTAGAGTAATAATTGATTTTAATTGAGTGGATAGCCTAATGATGATAATAGGCTGTCAGTTTCTTATGCATTTTCATTATTTATATATATGCGCATAATATGCAATTTCTATAAAGCTGCTTGTTTTAAAATTAACGATAATTAATAACGTCTTTCCAAATCCATATTTGAAAGTATCTAATTTACGAGTCGAAGCCTATATTCTCACTTGCTGTGAATTTTAAATGTCACTCATTTCATTTGAGATTACAACTCTGTTCGACGAAAAATTAGCATTACCCACCGATAATACTAAAATTTATATTTGGTAAAGCTGTAATAGCCTGATGTTCTAGACCGGCATCTTTAATGATCAAATTTGAGATATAAAATATCGTTGATTTCATTTGAAGATCATTTTATGCATTAGTTTTACTAATATGTTTCAACGTAACTAAAATTATTAATGTTTTGGGGTTCATTATTCACAATTTGGTGCTTACTAAAGCAGATGTTGAATCGAATTGTTCGTAAACTCTTAAATAAAATCGATTGTTTTCCAGATGCAATATTCTGACATTATAAAGACTGCAACTTCTAACGTTTGCCATGTATTACTATACTACGTTACATACATAATACCATTCGCTTGACCTAAAATTAAAACTTCATTCGATTAACATACTTGCTGTATAAAAGTAATATAGTATATAAAATCGAAAACCTGTATCCTATGGTGCAATCTCGAAATGCCAATACACTATATTAACGATACAAAATTTTTAAAACTGAAATTACAAGAGGCAATCAAAAATTTTAAAAATCTTGTAATCAATTATTATCAGATTTTGATATCTTACATAATACTAAATCATGTTAACATAAGGCTAGATTCTTAAATTAAAGCTATCACATTCGTATTTGATACTTGCAACTACTTTAGGCCTTATAATAACTTGCATTTTTCTTTTACCATCTGAATATTTAGAATACCACTCGTTTGATCTTAAGCTTTAAATTCATTCAAGAAAATGTGACAAATACCATGTATAGTATCGTATCAAAATTAAATGTTTTAACACTTATAACAGAATCCAACTCTATAGGCCAGTTTTGATGCAACGACTTATATCATTAAGGAAGATATTATAGAGTAGTTTATTGATCTTATGCGAAGCACCAACTCTTGCTGATCAATTAAAATTACTTATAGATAGACAGCGAAGCACTGGCTAAATGGTTATCGCGCAAAATTGTGCTGTATACCATTTTCTAATATCTAACCTTTTGACTTCGAAATGTCATATCTTGGCTTCAACAACTGTCTTGATACTGTTTACTACTATCTCAATGTTCCGATAATAGTCAGATTTTAGCAATCAAGAACATAAATTTACCATCTTGGATCGCAATGCTAGAGTTTACATAATGAATTTATATCAAGATCGGTCAAAATTTTACCGATCAAGTCCTATTACAATTTATTTTCTCATTGCACTCTTTATACAGAACGTAAGCAATGTAACATAAATAAACTTGTATATAGAAATAATTTCAATTTCTTTGTGTGTTTTGATAATACATAGCTCATATAGCGCATATTTTATTACCTAATATTATAGATAGATTCAATCTATTTTAACTTTTATGAATAAACCCTTAACACTTAACCCTTAACACGACCATACTCGTTTCGTAAAAATGATTGACAATGAACATTTCCGAATGAATTAAGAATCTTTCATGATATAAATAGGAAGCCAGTAGTTTAGGCTAATATTTCACAAAAATCAAAATATGATATAACTTTGAAAAATAGATTTTGATAGTCAAGATTTCCCAATTAAATATTATCAACGAGCCGGTCAATACGGATATTGGCCATAACATTAATATTATCGAAAATAGAGATAATTTGAATTAACTGTGTTTCCACTTGTATGTTAGGTCTAAGTACTACATTTTAAGGGAATATGTTTATTTGATAGTGTCTAAATTTTTCCCATTTGTATTCTCTACTGAAGCAACTCTTACAGATCTTATTACTATCACATCGATTAAGGTGGAAATATTAACTTTCACTCCATAGTACTCTATATGTATAAGTTTTAAGCCCATATGAATTAACAGATCTACATGTAAAAAGTGTGCACAAAACCTAACTTTTAGAGATATGCCAAAAATTATTTAAGACAAGATTCCGTTACTTCAAAGTTGATAAACGTTCGAGATAGATTTAAAATGATAGCAGACTATTGCTTGAGAAATTTTTAACCACTATCGCATGTGAGCTACTTTTTTAATAGTGGATCTTTTCTAAGTAGTTTATTCCTAAACTTGGAGGAATTATTGCCCCTGCAGTAGATCGTAACTTTTGCTGTCTTAATTAAGTACAGATCTACTGTCAGGTACTGGAGCTATTTTCGATATTTTGCTAATAATTTAAACTTTTTAGCGTAGAAAAGTCGTGATAAATAGTTGGCATAACTTAATACATTCGTCGTTATGCTATTGGAATAGAGTTAAAATCGCATCATAATTAAATTTAAATCAAATCTCGATCTTATTAATTTTAATTCATCTAGTATTAATATTTTATAATTCAATTTCAAAAATAAAGGTTTCTTTTTACACAGAAGCTTATTACAATTAAGACATCCGCTACAATACTCCCTCTCCAATCCGTTCCTATTCAGATCGATAGATGGAAATGTTGCTATAGCAACAGGAAGAATGAGAGAAAGGAATAATATAGCGAGGGCTTTGTGTAGACAAGATGGTTATTCTTTAGCTTTCTTAGCTACAAACAATATATCCGATGATTAATTAAGTTCGTCATCGAATTGTAACTATAATTAATTCATCATTTGCATACATTATCAAAATGATGGCAGAGTAATAATCATGGTTTAGGTTGTTTCTATTGATTCTATTTCATATCTAGATGTGAATTAATAATAGGTAACAATCAATGGATTGACAAAAGGCTAGAAATATCTATAGTCCTGTCTGCCACGATAGTGACGAATTATTATTTGATTTATCTTATTTTGTTTTCATAGCATAGATTGGCTATTTTTCCTTTCTATCATTCTATTTATTTTGTATGCAACCTCCGAAAGTTTATTCATAGCGTGTACGTTACTTCGCAATATTGATTTAATATTCAATATAGTTCTAGCTAACTATTTTTATGATAGAACTAGTAATAATTAATTTTGAAGGCTATTTTATCGGCTGTTATTGCTATTGATTTGTTTAGCTTAAAAAATTGGACTGCGAACTGATTTATTTTACAAGAGATTGAGATCCGAAGCCGATATAACGTAAACTAGGTAACGACGGATGATTCATCGGAGTCCTGCCCACGGTACGTATACCCGTCAACTGGATTAATTAAATACGAATTAAAAGACTAATAGATTGGCCATTTGTGTGAGATTAGTATTAGGTAAGTGATTGAAAACCTGGATATTAACTTTTAGTTGTTAGTCGCCAGTCTTTTTAATCACTGTTGAGTCCAAGATGCTATCAATCTACCTTAATTTTTATCAGAGTTCATGCTTGGGTATGAAATTATGATCAAAAGTAATGGATCGTCCATGTTTTACATGATATTGACAATAATTCATCTTGATTTGATTCAAATTAGTAATCCTAGTAGCGGAAAGAACTTGAAATCATGTCTGTATGATTTATTAAGGTATAGCAATGAATTGGCGTCGGTTACTCGTTTACTTTCCCTTTCCATCTTTCTTCTTTTGCATTCCGACAAATTAACTTTTTTGTGTAGATATCCATTTCATTGGAAAAAGAATTAATTTGTTTTATTGATTTCACTAAGAATATTTTCCTTTCGGTAAGAAACGGAATTGTTTGCCTCGGTGAAATATTCAGTTAATGCTTATATGCCATGGTCGGTTTTTTCTTCCTTGTTATTGTCACAGTTTTCCACTACCTGCATTACGCTATTTAACGTAAGATAATCCGGGCAAGAGAGAAGAAAATCTTAGCCTGGAAGTCGGATAGAACTTTTTCGATCTATTGGACGAACAGGGGTAGGGTCTCATTCATAAGCGATATCATTTTAAAATTCAATAATCGTAAATAAAATTGAACAGGCGCGGGCTAATGTGAAGGACACCAATATTATTCAGTTGTAATTTTTAAATCGTTTTGATATCAAATGTAGGACTACGGATATACAAGATCATCATTACCTATCGGATCGTTAATAAATAAGTGATCAAGTTTCTAATATTGAAGAAAATTATATCTTGAGCAGATGGCTGAAGAATCTTCAACCGTCGATATTGATACAGCCAATCGTAACGGAAAATCAGGAAAAAATGAAATAGATTTGGTGCCATCTACATTTCACCTTTCGGATACCATAACTTCAGATGACGAAAATGGAGATTATTCTTATAATAAAATGCGAAATGTAGCACAGACTTCTTTTCCATGCAGCTTCAAACGCTATCTTTTAGCTTTTATCGTAGTTTTGGCTTTTATTGCGGCATATTCAATGAGATTTAATTTGAACTTGGAATTTCGAGAAATGGTGCTTAATATGCAAGGAAATAGTTCGGTCTCTGTAGGAGAGAACAACCGAAGCAATATCAAGGTAAAGGATGCCATCTATACATTTACTTAATTAGCTTTGTCTAGTATATAAGAAACAGTAGAAATGGTCAGGACTTAATGCCTAAGGATAAATAGAGAGAAGATTAATAGACACTAATACGGCACTAAATTGTACCATATACGCCCTCTATTTAGCCTGGACTTTTAGTCTCGTTTAATAGATGTTGAAAACACTTACTATTCTAAACATGGGGCACTAATTCAGTTATAATAAAGTTACCGAAAGTCAGTTACTAAGAATCCAATAGCTTGTTCAAATTATTTAACTAGATTCTAGAACTCTTTAAAAGCTTGATTATATAGAAAAGTACGGGCGGTAAATAGTAATTTCTATTAATATTGGCTAGATCTGGAAGTTTAGACCAAGAGTATATAGTACTTTCCACTAAATTAAAACATCCTCTACAAGAACTTGGGTATCATAAGAAATTATTCACCGCTAAAGTTGTCGCTTTTTCATTTTTGCTCCGATTTACTTTTTACTCGAATAGATTTCCGTCTAGCCAAATTGCTAGACGAATCCTAATGTTATTAAAAGTTATCAAACATCAAAGATTATAAAAGCTTATTAAATCATGCACAATTCTTTGTAAGGGCCAATAAATTTTCGGTCATGATATAGGCAACAACAATTTACCAGGATTAAGTATACGAATTTTGTTGAGAATCAGCAATAAATACTTTGTCAAATCCAAGATTGGGCCGAATAGTTTTCCAATTGTAGTTTTTACAATTTTTACTTCAGTAAGAAAAACGTGTTACGAATGATTTCTCATTTAGCTTTGAAGATTTTATATCACGAATTCAAATGGCCATTCGTAAATTATTTCACTTTAAATTAAATTCATTAATAGATCTATCTTACCCTATCTTTAAATTTATGCTCATTTATGAATGAGGAGAGATAAATATTTGATTTCACCTAATAGTATCGTATAATTTCTTACGTGAGAGAAATCATTAATTTGGTAATCGATAATTTCAAAAACTACTTTCTAAGCTTTAAGAAATCTCTGGTTAATAAATGATGGTATTAGTTCAGCTAAGTTTTTCGCGATAATGGTAGACGCTAGACTCATTGATTATGAATTTATATAATTCTCATCAAAGAATATTTCTTGCCGAGCTTCATAAATTAGACTGATTCTCATATATGACACTCTGTTTTTAAAAGCAGATAAAGGCGGAGATTTAACTTAGTTAATTTGATAATAAATAGTGTAGCTTAGTACCGACTGATATTAATGTAATCAAATAGTGTAAAGAAGCAATTATAGAGCGTCAGAATTGTCAGTATTTCGTGCTCATGCCTAACTTAATTCACAGTAATGGATTTTTTAGAACGATATATATTGAACAGCATAAGAAAACATTGATTCTTTGCCAATTAATTATTCTGAATAGGTTTCATGGAATATATCGCAATTATTTACATCCACATTAACATCTGGTATTTATACGATTTTAAAAGAAATTGATAGTTTTTCAGTTTATAAAATTCGTCAGGTCCAAATTAAAATACAAGACTTATAGTTTCGTTTCAGGATTTTAATCGCTTAAATCGCTAAATAGTTGTAAAGTATGAAATCTTGTAGATTAAATTGATTCTTTATTTTACATAGTGTGATTTACGAGTCCGATGAAAAATTTCTCTATTAAATTATACTGTTTAAGAGATAGTCTAAGTCACAAGCAATAATATTAATTTGATATCTTCTAAATTATTACTTCTTTTACGTACTGGAGTAAAATATTAATCGAGTACAATATCACACAATTTATTTTTTAAAACGCTCTGAGTAAACCGCATCTAAGAATAAATTGACTGTCCATTTGTCTATTGGTAAAAAACACTAGCAAGGCTCTAGTTAGTCAGAAAGAGTATTTCTTTTCATTTCGATAGAATTATTACCGCAACTATCATGAATAACAAGCTATTACTATTTTATGATTTTAGGAGATGCCCATAGGTCGTAATGGGCCTAAACTTTACCATCATTTTTTATCAATTTCGTATAACACAGCAACGTTTCAGGTTTCGACTCTTAATGCAGCCTTCGTGCTGGTAATAAAACTGGAGTCGTTGATAGTCGGTATAATTCAATCGAATGACAATCACTATCAATAATTAATTCATCCTTCAGGCTAAATTTGACAACTTTTGAGCTTCTTTCCCGGCTAGCTTAATTTGGTACTCTTAACACATTTGTATAGCAGTGCATTTGAGTACGAAGTGATAGAAATTACTTTATACATCATATCAAATTAAGTTGCAGCAACAAAACGACAGGCAAATCGTTTCATGACAAGATATGAGCAATTTCAATGCTAGAAAGTTCCTTAAAATCGAAATCTCTACTTTTGATCTATCTTAAATGAAATTGGCTAAAAAATTTGATAAATGTCTCTATTTATAAATGTTCTATCCGGTGATAAGAATTATAGCCTGGATAGGGTTGATCATTGCTAAAATTAAATCGATGCTATAGTTGGAGTAGACTTTCATCATCATCTACGTGTATTCTAATATTAAATTCAGGACTTTATGTTTGTAATGGATTTATTCGAAGTACTGTAAACCATTGCTAGCCTTTGTGGTCGACTATCATCAATTTGAATTGAATTAAGTGAATTAATTTTTGCTAGAGGTTAAATTCGATATTATTGACTTTATAAATAAAAATAGATGTATCGCTTAATTATTATTGGAATACTGACTATTCAAATGTATACCTTGCAGCTGAATTGTTTCTTCACCTTTCTTTTTCTCGCAGGTGTTTCATTATTTGTGGGAACCGCATCTTCAAGGTAAAATGTAGAACAATAGATTTGTATACTTAAAGATGAAATAGGGTATTTTATTATGAAGAATTTACTTCATATCATCACGCGATAATATGAAATAAGCCTTTCAGAATAATAATGCAACTTTAAAAGGATGTTTATTTTTGATTTTCTGAATATCTTATCAAATTTGCAAATCGAGTATCATTCCATCTCTATCTCTAGTAATTATGTAATTGCCCATCAAAGCTCAGTATGAAGCCCTAATTTAACTTACTATTTATGGATTACAAAATATTTTTTGAGCAGCCAACAGTTTTAATATACCGGCTAAAAGTTGCATTCTAGAAACCGCAATTTTTTAAAAGTGTTTTTGCTCGACTTAATGCGCCTACAGTTTGTTTTTGCCACCCTCTTAAAAGTATCAAGTACCCCGATTCTATATCAGTTGTGAAGCATGGAGTAATGTATGCAATTACTATAATAGATCTTTACTAATTGCTACACTTTAATATATGAAATGATAAATCCGAATGAAGTAAAATATTAAGAATAAGCATCAATAGCATTCCCTTTTACATTCAATTTCTCTATTTGAAATATCAAATTTGATCCTATTTCATATTCCACGATTAATTTCATATTGAGTTCATAATTACGATAATGAGCGGCTCTTTATAGCTATATTTAGTGTTGATGGACTTTCTATATTGTAGTTGATTGACCTTATTTTATTAGTGAAAGAGCACGATAAAATGCTCCAACTTGATACTTGCTGAAATCAGTTTTCGTTTATTGATGGAAGAGTGTATAGTTAATCCGTTTATACAATACTTGAATTTTGAAAATAATTTAATGTGTTATCGATCTCATTGTAGGATTTGCTTTAAGCGTATTTTTCTACGGCTATACGGCTATGCAAATTCCTGGCGGTTGGTTAGCCCATAAGTTTGGTGGATTCTCCATATTATCATTTTCAATGCTCGTTAGCGGAATCTTAACCTTACTGGAACCAATTTTGATTACTACGGGTTATGCAGCATTTATTATTTGTCGCATCCTAATCGGCGTTGCTCAGGTTAACCATTTACTATTAGGACAATTTACGTCTTTTCCATGGTTATTCATTTACTATTAGGCTACTAGCTATTTAGTCCATTCCAGTAATGCAATTCATTCTATACGTAATATTATTCCTACTTTTCTCGAATAATATCAAACGTAGGGTCCAATCTATCCGGCTATGATTGAATTCTGGAAAGAATGGTCACATCCAAACGATAGAGCTCGAATGGTTACCACTACGGAGATTGGTATTTCCCTCTAATGTCATTCAGTCTTTTTCAAATCCAATACAATACTGTAAAATTTACATTGGTTTAACGTTATCATCTTGCAGCTTTTACTGATGATTAATTAGTACATTTACCCAAATAATAATCGATGAGTACAGAAAATAAAATTATTTGATGTCAGAAGATGCTGTTAGTTTCATTTTTATTAACGTGTTGCCAATCTGTAATAACTAATATAAAAAAGGTCATTAAAGCTTAAACAGTCCATTCTATAATGCAGAGATCTAGAGAAAGTCGGATACTAATGTAGTCAATGAATGAAGAACTCACTCTATCATCTTCTTACCTTTATCTAGGGGCTAGTATTGGAACAATCTTTGCAATGATCTTGCCAAGTGTGATCGTTCAACGTTTGAACTGGTCTTCACCTTTCTACTGCTTTGGTAATTACAACCTATTTTTCTGCATAACAGTAGTTACGATATAGTACTATCAAGTGATTAAAAAAGTTCATTAAGTATTTGGAAGCCCATCAATCTTTGCTCTATAAAAATTGTGAAAATTGATGGCGACTATTTCTAATTATACTGACTTCTTTGACATTCTTTCTGTAATCCTTGCCTGTGATACCATTTAGGGATTATTGGTATTGCATGGCCGATTTTATGGATTGCTGTATCAAGTCGAACACCAAGATCTCATAACTGTTCATGTATGAATGAAGTTTCGGTTGGAAAGGAATCAGATGAGGTTACTCTATGATTTTCAGTTACCTTACTTGCCTAAGATTCAACCTTGTATCGTAATACCCTATCATTTGGGGGTTGTGTACTTGCTAGAAGTTTACTGATTAATTTTGAAGACAATATATATACCTTTAAGTGTTTTACTAATAAATGATCAGCATTAGTAGGACATTGAAGATAATCGTACATCAATATTATTTATGACAGGCCTGCATGCCAGAATATAATGAAATTCCATGGAAATTAATTTTTACCTCGTTGCCAGTATATGCCTACGCCATTGCTTTCTTTTGCGAAGGATGGATTCTATTTACAGCTTTGACGCATATACCTAAATTTTTACTGTTGCATAGGGAATACGATATTACACATGTAAGTCTGATTTGACTTGCATCCAATATTTACAATAGCTGATATATAATTTTCATTCGTTATAGATATTATAATAAGAATAGTAATTTTCAATTAGTAACTGTAACAAGTAATTTAAATTATCAAGCTACTGTAATCAATATTTACCGAGTACTTGCCACCCTACGATGTAAAATATATCGTTGATAATTGGATATTATCGTTTAGATAGCATGCAGGATTGTAAATGTTCTAAAATGAGTATCGTTAAGACAACGACTGATGATGGAGATGATAATTTATACGTATTCTTTGTAATGTTTTAGACTGGAATTAAGTGTATTATTCCTTTTATTGGCCAAATGATTATGTTATTTATTAGTGGCTTTCTGTCAGATCTATTTATTTCTCGTGATTATTTAAAACCTACTATCGTCAGAAAAGGAATTTACGTTATCGGTAAGAAACGAAGTTTTAATTTTAAAGCAATATTTGAATAGATAGGAATAAATGCTTGGACCTTATTAGCAGTCTATTCTAGTGATGTTAATGCTGTTACTTTTTATTAATTTATAGGAAATGTTATCTCGGCCGCTTGCCTTATTACGATTGGTTTCCTCGATGATTTAAACGCTGCTCTAATATGTTTATTTACGACTATTATAATCGATGGTGCTACTCGTAGCGTGATGTTGGTTAATCCTCTTGACTTAGCTTCGCCATATGCTGGTTTCATCATGGGAATTGGGCATGCAGCATGTAATTTAGCGGGATGTATCTGCCCACTTATGGCAGGCCACATTACCGAGAGTATGGTAGGCTTGCTTATTAAATATTAATTGCAAACGTGATTTCGCTATAGCATAATGCCTTATCTTAGATAGAATTGAAATTACATTTTTATATGTAGTACGGATACATAGTTAGAAATCCATATGGTTAACTTGTTAGAACTATTTTACATTATCTGGTCTTATGAAACATCTCGTTTTGATTTGCTTTTAGGCTATCGAAAGATGGCGATTTGTTTTTGGAATAACAGCGGGTATAAGTCTTCTAGGTGCAGTAGCATATATTGTTGGTGGTTCAGCAGAAGAAATCGAAGGAATTTCATCAATGAATAACAAAAACAAATACAAAAGCCTTCCTACAGCAGACAGCGAAAATGTTCATTTGCTTCAAAAAGAAAATGCTTCACCAGGAATTAATGACAAATAATTTTAAGACCAATTCAGCAGGCTCTATGTTAATAAATTACGTTATCTGCATGTGCTATGATATCTAAAATCAATTCAAATTTCATGACTAATAAATTTTCAAGATTAGTTATTTAAATGTTAAACTTCATAACACACTATGTTGAATGACTATATCATTGTTTGATCATTGCAATAATGGATCTATCTTGTTAAAGATGAATAAACCTTCTTATGATGAAAATGTGGTTGATGTTATATCTTTGCTATACCCGTTTGCATTGCCAGCAAAATGTATATAGATCTTACGTATCAATAGTTGATCATATTGATTCTCAAATAGCCATGAAAGCAAATTCATTGTGCAAACAGATAACGTCATGAGTCGCGTAAAGTTATTTAAAGAAAATATTAGAAAATCAACAGGATATCTATATATTTCGTATTTAATACAATGTTAGCCTTAAGTTCTATATACCGCATTGAAGTGATTTAATCATCTACTGTACTATACACCTACTATGTGATGCTAGACTTTACAGGTATCTCATAAAATAATTTACTCTGAGTAATTGTTAAATATCGACGTCATCTTATTCAAACTTTTTTCCGATAGTCAAGCCGTCGGGTTTTATATTATAGCGGTCCCTAACAGCTTTTACCGAAATGTTAATTGGTCTAATATAAGAACCATCCATTAAGTCATTCCATTTTGATCTTAACCATGATTTACATGTCTTGTTACGATCTTATTTATCCCCGTATAATAGTTATTATAGTAATTAATATGCTGGATGGGCTTATAAATATGTGTAAGTGCTGTTCCCGTACAGATTTTAAGGTAATATTATTGAAACTGTAAATTTTGATAGTTTCGGATAATTAAATCTAACAACGTATCAAGCTTTCTCGGTCGTGTTTATCGATACCAAAGAGTGAAATAATTATAATTAATCCCATCCCGAGCAGGCTATTCATAAAAACCTTCTTGAAGCTGGGAATATAACTACTGCTCTTATTACATACTGTATATATTGAATACTGTTGTTCGAATTATTTTGAGGTCTTAATCTTGAAGGTAGATAGTCTGTGTCTATGCATGTGCAAAATTTGATTATCTCTGTAGGTTCAGTTTTCAATAAGATCCAAGAAAGATATAATCTAAATATAAGCTGTGTTATTTAGCATTTGAGACTGTTGCAGGTTTATAAAGTTCATAGAGCTATCGCTTTATTTTGATTTGCTGCATGGCTGATGTATCAAACTCGTATAGGAGAGGAGTGCACACTGCGCTACATATATGACGTATGATGTCTCTGGAAATATAATATATAAATCTTGATTAGCTAGGTACTCAAGTATCATACCGCCTGATGCCTTTTCTGTTTACCGCTCTATCTCAGCATTTAGCCAATACTGTGACATTAAATTAATCATACTCGTAGTCAAGACCAAAGAATAGAATTGGGCTCTTTATATTGTCAACATTATGCCAATCATATATTTATTTCACAGTGGCATCAGTAAGACATTTAGGAGTATAATACTGTCGAATGGCATTTTTAGCTTTTTCAGTCAAGTGCTGCAAAATATTGCATTCGCCAGGGTGAGAACGTAATCTCAAGTTGCTGCGTGGATACTACATTCCCGTGGCAAGTGAATGCTAGATTTGAATTCTGGACATAGGGTAAGAATACATCACTGATATTTCAGCAATAAATCCGTCGGTTCAAGGATGTGTCAAGTATCTGCAAATTCCTTGCGAGAAATTTCTGACTCCTTATTTTTATCAATTTTCAAGTTATTCGCATACCTACAAAGTTACTCAATTCGGTTGCAATAATATATGGCGTTTATTTCTACAGCAAACCCTTAAAGTACATACAGTATAGCGTACAGAGATGATAAAATAACGTAAATATATAGTTTCATAGTACAATACTATAGAATCGTATTCAATTTTTCAGCAAGAGCAAGCTGTGTTCGAACCAAGCTGCCAAGATAGGTAACCATCAATAAATCCTATAGATATGTGAAAAAATAATTTCGCAATCGCCAATTAATATCATGGGAGAATATGTATTAATAATCTCTTAATATCTATGTAGAGTATACGGTAACATAACTTATCGTACACGAAAGTAAAATTTTCGAAAATGATAATGACATATCAGTTAATACCCTGCACTTTTTTATTACCTGTGTCGAGTTGTTCATCATATCCTTAAATACTGATTGATCGATTTGTGGAACTGCCATTATTGCATCGCTTAATGATCGTCCAATCTTGCTATCAAATGGAGTATTCCCAGCCTGGAATGGTGCGTTAATTGATGTTTGTTAGTGAAAAAAATTTGTATATTCATCAAGGTTGACAGTCTTGTGAATATTTAGGCATAGTCGATTACCGTCACGTCTTCCACATATTTTAAAACTTCATCCAATAATTCATCAATTTTTGTTGACGTCCTATAGAGTGCATTGAAAGCAAGCAAAGCTATTTTTTAGCTCCTTGTAAATTGTATGAACTAAATTAATATCAAATTCAATCTGCTATGATATTAATTATTGGGATATCTTACGCGATAACGTGTTGCATATCATTATGAACAGGAGCGATCCCACCGATTGCTAAATTACGTTGAAATAATTGTGCTACAAAGACGACGGTATCAAATAAATGGCAAAATGAGAAATTTTGACTCAAAGCCTAGTATACTGCATTTTGTGTATAGGTAATCTTTACGAATTATTTAGCGTATATGCTTATTATATAGGAAATAATATCGTTAATAGACGTCAGAGCTTACAAGCACTCATCTCTTCTGGATAATAGCCCATAGCATATCGTATAGGCGTAAATATAGAACCATTATCATTTCCAGGCACGCCATATCTATGATATACAGAAGCTTGAATACCCATATGTGAGTCGGTTAAATTAGTATCAACCAGTAGGTGAATTGGAAATGCTACATAGGATGATTCAATAACTCTGCTGAATAATGCCTGCATGGCCAATGCGGTATCATCTATCTGATCACCAGTTGAAAACCTATTTGCATTGTAAAACATCTGGTAAAGCAGCTAATTTCGGAATATGATCCATCATAGTAAATACTATACTACTGTCTAGTGGCATCATTGCACACGCATCAATATCGTATTCATTCCAATTCAATAACAAGGTGATTCGGATACAGTCTACATTACTTACCGTCCAACAATGACTTCATTAGGATATACCCGTTGGTGTAAATCGAACAATCTTTGAAATTCTTCAAGATTAAACTTTTTCTGTACAACAAAAAAAGCATCCGCTTCATTTAGACACATGATCGCTGGCGTTTCTTAATATAGGTTATCAATACAGTTTGCTATGGGTTTACTAAAACGATTGTGAACAAAAAAACTGATGTAAGCTCCAGGAGTGAATGATTGGATCGTATCGAATACTCAATCATACCGTTATGCACTGTACTATACAGCAGTATCAAATAACTCGAATAATTCTAATGATGGCATTGAATGAAACGTGCAATCCTCTTGCTTTCCATCGTCAACTGGCATGTTGTATAGGACTTTAGACGGGGTTTTTCGCTCTACATTACAGTACTATATTGTACTGTATTGAAGGCGTGATTCAGTGGGAGCAAAAGTTGAATCTGAATTTCAATGTCGAGTTTGTTGAGAAAATTCGACCGGTGAATCGTATACTAGATTCAACTCAATAATACACTACATATTTTATCCAGCTTTCATTTCATGAACCAACTACAACAATACACAGTACTGCATGGTCCAAAGCAATTGATGAAATACTATCCTACAGCAATACATGACTGCAGTCCTGCGAATAGTTGGTCCATTCCATTCTCACCTTTCCTGATGCAGTAGGATTGTCGTCAATGAAGCAATTACGAATCTCGATTCGTTCCTTTTCCACCTTGCCTAATAAAGTGCCATGGATTTTTTCTATATCTTCGTTACGTCGTTCATAACTATCACATATAGTAAGTACAACAACTGGATGGATTACTACCGAGAGTTGTAAAGGACTAGAGACCGCCATGCTTGATTTTACCTGAAGCCAACTGCGCATGCGTCTTATGGTTTGGAGGGCAAGCTGTCCTTAGCATCTTGAGTTTGCCTCCGGTTATGCTATACTGTGCTATACGCCGTACAGTGTACACCATACACTGTACAGTGTATCCTTGTGATTCTTGACCACCGTAGGCTCGTCTAGTGCCTGTACAATACAGTACCAGTACCGAGCGAGTGCTCACGTGCTAGTAGTGAATCATGGTGAATGTAGTCCGGTATGGTGGTCTACCCCATCCAGCCGACTTCAGAAGTAGTCCAAATGTGGTGAAGAATCCACTAGGAGACTACTTGCTGATCACCTGTATACTGTATACAGTACGTATGTGGTGATTGATTGATTGGCATGGACTGGAGGAGTACTAGAAATTCTTCTTCTACAGATAATCAGATATTGCTAACTGCATATTGGTCTTATTTTGGACTGTTGAAGTAGTTCTGATATTTCTTATACTGTACACTGTACTGTCGTGAATCGCATATACAGTACTGTACTTTACAGTATACTACAGTAACATCATATTACTGTATGTTACAGTAAGACAGTGCAGTATTGTATAGTGTACAGTATAGTACATGGACTATCTACTGTACTGTATAGGACCTGGCCTGATCACTTTGGGACGGACAGACATACAATACAGTACACAGCGATGGACTCACTACAATACTGTATGACCCTGGACTGATTACTTTTGGACGGATAGACGACATACAATACAGTACTGTACTGTACAGTACCGTACAATGGACACAGCGATGGACTCACTACGATACTGTACAGTACAATGTACACAGCGATGGACTCACTACAATACTGTACAGTACTGTACCGTACTGTATGACCTGGACTGATCACTTTTGGACGGATAGACGACATACTGTACATTGTACAATACAGTACCGTACGATGGACACAGCGATGGACTCACTACGATACTGTACAGTACAATGTACACAGCGATGGACTCACTACAATACTGTATGACCCTGGACTGATCACTTTGGGACGGATAGACGACATACAGTACTGTACAGTACGGTACAGTACCGTACAATGTACTGTACACAGCGATGGACTCACTACAATACAGTACTGTACTGTACAGTGTATGACCTGGACTGATCACTTTGGGACGGACAGACACCCCGGCTTCATTTCGCCAAAATATTATGCGAACACGTCGCTATGGCAGTGCTTAAGTATGCAGACCGTCGATTTCAAATTGACTGATGCTTTCTCAATTAAGGTTAAGTAATATTATATTGAATCTTATCTGTTACAAAGTTGTGCTTGAAAACAGTTATATACTGTAAGATCGGTAGATTCTATTTCAATGAGAACCAGTGATTTAGAAATAGACATTAAGATCCATTGGGTAAGAAAGTCTGCCTATCGGAGGCAGTACTAGTTGTGTTCGTTGTGTTAGTGGACTGTAGTTCAATTTTCTCAAGCTACAAATTGAGATTTTTCTCAAGTAGTCCATTGTCCAATAACATTTTGATAAGAATAAGAATGTCCAAGGTTAGATTAGCAGTCAAACAAAAAATAGGAAATGTCAAAATCTCCTCTTGCCAGTAAAGCGTCATCTTTACGCCTGCGCAATAGAGTTGACATTTTGGGGTCAATCAAAAACTCATAAACTTGCAAACAAATGCTGTACAGTACACAGTGTACACCACTCTGCCGTGGATTACTTGAAGACTACCTACAGTATACAGTAGTACTATTCTTCTAGTAGCAGTTCTGAGTCTGCGTTCAGTACAGTACGGCATGACAAACAGACTGATCAAAACGAAGTCTACTCCAAATATCAATACAGCAAATTAATTTACATTAGTGCTGTTCTCTGCCCTAAATTCTTGGTGGCAAGGATTAAAGTCTATAAAAACAGTTTACAGTACTGTATATGTCAACTGCAGGAGACAGCTGGTGATAACGAACGTACGCATCGTTCTATTGACAGTATTTCATATGCAGTATGTTGATAAACTTGACACGATTCTCGTCTCTCGTCTCCATTCGTTTGGCTCAGAAAGATGGCCAGCAGCGCAACACAAGTACTGCCATGATGGCATTGGTTCTTGAAGAAAACCTTCTACACTAATAATAGCCCATGACTACAAGTACTGAGGACGTGTATAATCGACTTTGCATTTCTCGAATATTTTTACGAGTATGCGCAAGCCTAGAATTGATCACATTAGGGAAACCCCTTATTATTACATAAAATATTATGATTGTGGCATCCAGCAGATGCATGTACTATGGACTACTCCAATTACTATTTAATCATTTGAGTAGTCCATGGGCCATGGCTGCACTTGTACTTTGACATTCCACAGTTTGCGCACAGGCAGTACTGGGGGCAGCTGAGAATGGGAGACTCCCCACGGTTGATACTCCAGCAGTCTTAAAATTGTTAACGGTACTTTACAAAGCAGTGCAGCATCTGTGAAGCTTTTCCGGTAACAATTATGGATCAATTCATTCATTAATGAATTGATTATCTCCAATTATGCAATACTGTATGTAGAAAATTGAAATTCTATAAATCCAATAACAGAATGATTACAGACCATGGCATTAATCTAATGTAGATAGTCAATCGCATTATAGTAGGGGGATTGTTTGTATGGCTCTGCAAATAGGGTCGCCAAATTTGTAAAAGTCACGACCATCACGACAGTTCTGACTGGTACATAACAGTACATAATACGTACCGTTTACTGTCGTCCATAGTACTGTACTGTATTCAATCGTGTTTTTTATGAACTCTATCTATGGCTGTGCTGTAGATCAAAATTCCCAATTTTCTACATTGACTGTAGGATTTTCAATGGCTATGTTCCTTGATATTAGGAGACTGCGTTGTATTTTCGAGTCCTGCAGCAACAGTGCCTAATTAATTAAGTTAATTAAGCATGACTAAATGGTTATTCATCGTTACTCGTTAGCGATGTTTACCGCCCAGTACGATAGCGACCAAAAGCGAGATGATTTGATACACTAGATTTGAAAGTTCACCCTCCGATAGCAGACGCTTGCTTCTTCTCACTGGCACTGGAATAGCATACCCCTACTGTAAATAATGACAGTGCAGTGCAGTAACTGCAATTGTCATGTCATGGATCGAAATTTGTTATCACATCATACAGTACAGTGGGTTGCTAAGTGCAAATAAGTTCAGTTCAACAAGGTGCGCCATTATTCCTTCTTCGTCTTGTTCGAACGCACCCACCCACCCATCCTTAGTACGATACGATACGATACGATACGATACGGTATGGTACGGTACGGTATGGTCCATATGTGGGAGAGTACAGTACAGTGAGTACACTGGTTACTCATTCGTTCTGTACAGTGTACAGTCTGGTCCTTTTTTCCCAGCTACAGTACGTAGTGCAGTCATCCCATCACTCGATAGGATACTGTAGCGAGCTGTACAGTACTACTGCATCATCCTCCATAGTGAAGAGCTGGACACGTGTCGCGAATGTCACAGCCTGGTGTGACGCTATGCCGCTGCAGTACAATGTACTGTACGGTGACGCTCGGATGATATTTCCGCTATGTAATCATTACACTTGCCAGTCACGAACACCGCCTTGACTGTACACTGTACTCTGGCCTACTGTACTTGGATTGGACCATGTGATCAGCCTTTGACGCGTATCACAATGGTAAGAGAATCCAAAGTCAATACGGCCGTCGATCACGTGAACACAGCCTGTGGCACGTATAAATATGGGCTGCCGGGAAGGCGAGTGCCACTCCTGCGCAGTCTTTCTGAAACTGCGAACTAGCGGTGGTGGTAGATTTTAGCATTGGTCGACCATCGATTTCATCGCAGTTTACACTTTTTCATTGAATTTTTGAACTTGTTTATATACTTCTATCAATCTCCAATTAAACAAGTATGACAGCAGACGACATTCCGCCATCTTACGTTGTCCATAAGAAGGTTAGCTGATCATAGACTTCGTTAATACGTGATAGAGACTTTTTTCTGTATTGAATTTTTGACACCCATCCTTTACTGTACGATCGTGTATCGCCCAAACCGCGTGGGCGAATTCGGATAGAGGTTTTGAAAACTTGCTTTGCTTCTTGATCGTCTTCACAGTTTACTGCAAGACTTGGCCTAAATGTTTCCCATACAGTATTAAAATACCCGCAGAGATAATAGTAGACAGAGAGAGACAAAATAGAAATCACTACACTAGTGCAATTTCAAACCAGTCGACAGTAGAAATCTCTCCACTTCAAATGTTCGCTTGCAGTCCTGGGACGCTGTAGGCGATGCCTTACACGAGTTTGCCATAGAGTTGTATACGCCTCGATGCAATCACGTGTACTAGACAGTACTTCGGCCTGCAATTTTTTTCTACCATTAATGGCTTAGCACGATATCATTGTTGATCTAGGGACGATATTAATTAGACATTCTTGATTGCATTTTGCAATGACCTTCTTTATTGAACTACAAATGGAGATTGTTGTCTTATCCTATACTGTCCTACAGAGAGATCGATAAGGGAGCGATCGCCTTCCGTGGATAGGATTACTGTACTCACTAGCAATATTGACATGCGTCCCCAATTTTAGCCTCGGGAAATGTTTTTATTATCATTATTATCATGAGTAGCAGCTGGACTTTGTCAGCTTTCCATGTGGCTATCAATACTGCTAGAAAATGATTCCAAATTAATCGTTTATGTTATCCTAAGCAAGTCCATTCGTTGTTATTGTCACTTCAAAATTGCAAACGGATTCGGCTTGCTATGCTTGGACGCCTATTCATGACTTCAGCATCAGCAAATGCCAAGTCGTTAGGTGATTCACCTTGCAATTTTTAGTAAAAGTTGTTGCCTATCCATTGCAATAGCATGTAGTCCCTACGCAGTAGAAAAGTGACCTCGAGTCATTGAAGATGTTGCTTTTCCTATGACAATGCTACATGTATTGTAATCGATGGCATCTGTGAAGACGATCAGATCGAGCAAAATTGGATGTAATTTATCATGTTATTTGACTTTTTTAAAACACGGTTATTCATTTTATACTCTAGCGTGGTCGCTCGGACAGCTATCGCCTTGCTAATCCTAGTGGCCAAGTCGAACAAGCCTTTAATAATTATCACAAAAAGAAAAGTGGTAAAGAAAATATGGACGACTTAAAAAGCGAATTAGAATTGGTTAGTACCCTTCTGCGTGTTTTAAATCATTGATTCTTTTTCAACTGTAATCGTCAATCGGATACAATGAAGAAAATAGTTACTGTTTGATCATTTTTTTTATATGTTGTCATGCCCTGAGCGTAGAAAGTGTAGTGGTACGATACCGTAGATTAGGAAACAAGATAGTTATACCCATATAGTAGAAAAAATGATGTCTATATATTGGCTATTTTTTGGAACTGTGTTTACTGATTATCGCTAGCGAGTGCACGAGAATACAAAGTGTTCATTACTACAACCTTAGTAAGTTTCTGGCGATAGTATTCAAATTTGCTACAGTATGTATGTGCGCTTTTTATGGACAATAGAAGCCCATATTTAAAATTATTGCGACATGATGTATACCAGTAACTATGAAGTAGTACAGTAGTATTTTCAATTTTTAAAGTGCAGTATACGAGTATTACGATATAAAAGATAATCCAGACAACTATTCTGTTTTTCAAAAACTCTTGATAAGTCAAAACGTTATATTTATTTTCTCCGCAGCTTTACCATACATATGATAACGTTCATCCAAATGTCAACTACTTTATCATTCTAGTACTGTATATGTACTTCTATCTATCACTACCATCAGTCCTATCATATGATGTATGGTATTACTAAATATTAGCTTGTGTTGTACCATATCGCTTAGCACGTGATAATGTATGCAGAAGGTTCAAGAATTGTTCAATGTGGCCAAGTTAATAAATGTAACTGGAGTACAGATGTACTCTTTACAACTGTTGCAACGTTTGTAGATTCGTCTACTTTTAAAATAATGGAGTTTGTGGATTGAATTTATGAATTATAGGATGACCATAAGATTACGTTGACTGAATTATCGGAGCGCTATGAAACAGACTTATCAAAGGTAAGATTCGGAATCTGTTCATCAATATGTTACAGAAAAAGTTGGGTTTAATGCGATCTGTTACACAAAGTCCGTCGTTTTTCGTTACAAATAAATGGATTGTGCTATCCAGCCGTTCAATCGTTATCCTCTTTATCGTACTTAATGCACATTTCCGTAATTAAATACTAGTCAATCTACTCAGTTTGTGTAGAAGGTGTTATCATTAAAATTAAGTTAGCTTCGATGATCATACGCTTATATCGAATGAACCGTAGGTTCTCTCTCTCTATATAAATAGTATCCGCTATTAGCGAACGCTTTATTCACTTTCTAATTAGTTTAATTTCTGTGCTTATTGTAATGGGAACGGCGTAAGTTAATATGGTAATTGCAATGGTTAGACAAACTTTCGTGTATAGATTTGATGGCTAGGTTGGAAAGAATTGTCAAAATTAGAGTTTGATATCGCAAGTAATATTGCATTCCGTTGCTATCTAGTAATACCTGAGATATACAGCGACTGGTAATAAAGAATTTATCAACAGATTGATAGATTCGGCATAGCAATCGTATTCAAGATTTCGTTATTATCTTTCGTTGTATATGCGTAGATAGTGAAATGGATAGTTTCCGATTGGTCATATCCAAGCAACAATTTTTCGAGCTTTCTTAACGGAGTACAATACTTGTAAATATTTACTATTCCGTATGGTCACTATCATCTACGTATGTCCTCACCACAGCAATCATAATTCGCTGTTTATATAGGCTATACATATTGCTTGAAGAGTCATTATACGATTTTGTACAAACTAAACCAGATGATAAATCTTCATTTAATGCTAAAAGTGATGCAAAATGTTGTATTATTGTCACGCGCAATGTAAACTACTTAGTATTGTCATTAGAACTTCAGGATCTGGAAATTAATCTATGTAAATACTCTATATGTTATAGACGTGAAAATTCAAGCTTATATTACTTGAAGAAGCTCGTATTCTTTGTTTGCTGACTTAATAAATTATTAGTTATGATTCTGTACCGATCGTAAGAGGATAAAGTTTCGGGAGTAGGAATTACTTATCCCTGGGTATTAAAAATACGTTTGCCTGCATACTTACTTAACCCTTAATAAAACAAAAGCGCCTAAAGCATGGTACTGTCGGCGATGTCAACGGGCTATCGTGCTGTTACCATTAATAACTAAATAGGCAATTTTCAAGTCCATATTTATTCCTTTTATTTGTAGCTAACAAGTAGACATTAGTAAAGTATGCTGGTATTGAAATACTGTAATGGATTGCTAACAATGTATAATTAATTAACTATTAAAAAAATAGCGAGCGAATGACTACTCCTATTTCCATATGGAATTACACAATTACTCGACTGAGATTGTAGTTATCATGAATAACTTGAGTAGTTTACCCATGCTAATTACCATTGGACAGTTTATTGAACGTTAACTTGCCTTTCAGTTTACGATGCCCAGTCTGCATACCAGTACATGATAAGAGGCAAATTACTATCGCTAAATTTTGTGCACTATTATATTGGTAACTCCCATTTCAAAAACTAGCGATACTATGATTGAAGATTATAAGTTAACCAAATAAATTACCAGATTTACACGATTATAAGTTAACCAAATAATTTACCAGATCGACTTCGGTCGTTACTACACTTAGTGAAGTAAAGAGAATAAAAGTTATACTGCTGTATTGATGTACGCGTGTATAATGTCGTATCTGAAATGATTGTCCTACATAAAACAATTGATTCAAATTCTTAATTATAAATTAGGGACATAATGCAAGTAAAGTGCTAGAATATAGAGAGAGAGATGGTCTAAATGCTTTAAGTCCTCCTAAAGTAACACCATGGTGGGTGAAGTTTGCAAAAAATTTGTTTGGTGGCTTTGCTCTTTTGCTTTGGACTGGAGCCGTGTTATGCTTTGTGGCCTATGGTATCGAAAGGAGTCAAAGTGAGAACACCCTACCAGATAATGTTAGTATTGACCTCAATAATGTAACTTGTGCTATTAATTCGTTAGATGGCATGTTGTCTGATCTAGCATTTTGCTACATTCACTATTATAGCTCTACTTGGGAATAGTATTGGCTTCTGTGGTTATTATAACAGGTTGCTTCCAGTATTATCAGGAAGCGAAAAGTTCTAAAATTATGGAAAGTTTTAAGAACATGGTTCCGCAGGTAAATCCTATATACTTTCATCTAAATTTATTCTGTCTTGCTTATAATAACACAGTACTGCAATCTTGCAGTTTGCTGTCGTTGTTCGTGAAGGAAACAAGGAAACTATTGGAGCTGAACAGTTAGTTAGAGGAGATTTGGTTGAGGTTAAGTCTGGCGATCGAATTCCTGCCGATATTCGTATTATCGAAGCTCGTAGCATGAAAGTCGATAATTCATCATTAACTGGAGAATCTGAACCTCAAGTTCGACTTCCTGAGTGTACGAACGATAATCCTATTGAAACAAGGAACTTGGCTTTTTTTTCTACTTATTGTGTTGAAGGTACAAGAGTTAATTATTATAGGTAATCAACGAAATATTTTTGACCTCCTACTTCTTGTATTAGGAAATTGCAGAGGTATCGTTGTAAACATTGGCGATAACACTGTCATGGGTCGAATTGCCAACTTGGCTAGTGGACTTGATACTGGTTCAACACCAATTGCTAGAGAAATTGCTCATTTTATACATATAATTACCAGTGTAGCCGTTTTTCTCGGTGTAACCTTTTTCATACTTTCATTTATCCTGGAGTACACTTTCATCCAAGCCGTTGTGTTTCTTATTGGTATTATTGTCGCAAATGTACCAGAAGGTCTCTTAGCTACCGTTACAGTGAGTTATCCTAAATACTCAAATATTACTGTGTTTTGTACTTTTTTTAACCTTGTTACGCTTAATTACTATTGCTAATTGGTCTAAAAATTGAACACGTCGGTTAGGTATGTTTGACATTAACTGCAAAGAGAATGGCAGCTAAAAATTGTCTCGTCAAGAATTTAGAGGCTGTTGAAACGCTCGGTAGTACATCTACTATCTGTTCAGATAAAACTGGCACATTAACACAAAATCGAATGACAGTCGGTAATTTGCTATCCTAGAATTATTGCATTACTTACTTCGTTATTTGCCTCCGACATTCATTAAAAATTTTAATTACAGCACATATGTGGTATGACAATCACATTGTTGAAGCTGATACTTCTGAAGACCAGTCTGGAAAACATGAGAAATCATCTGTGACATGGAATCATTTAGCCAGGATTGGAGCTTTGTGCAATCGCGCAGATTTTAAAGCAGACCAAGAGAGTAAGCCTATCTTGCAAAGGTATGTAGTATATTAGCAGCACTTCTGATTACATGGAACCTGTTATTATGTACCGCCGGTTGGAAGCAGTGAAACAGATGTCGCTGTTTCCATTAGTAGCTACGAATATACACTTATTACTTTTACTACTCTATAGGGATTGTACTGGCGACGCTTCTGAATCTGCCATATTTAAATACATCGAATTAGCTGCCGGTTCAGTTGCTGGAATGCGTGAAAGAAACGGCAAAATTGCCGAAATACCATTTAATTCTACCAATAAGTACCAAGTTTCTATTCATACGAATGAAGATGGCCAGACACCATATATTCTTGTTATGAAAGGTTTAGCATCTTGTAGCAATTAGATTCCGCTAATTTGTATTTTTAGTTTTATAACCGCTTTTAAACGATATAATATGGGAATTTTGTCGCATTAGGTGCCCCAGAGCGAATTTTAGATCGTTGTTCGGAGATTGTAATAGATGGCGAAGTGCGTCCTTTGGACGATGCTATGAAAAAATCTTTCCAAGATGCTTACGAGGAACTTGGAGGCATGGGCGAACGTGTCCTTGGATTCTGCCATTACTATTTATCAGGAGATCAATATCCAGAAGGGTACAAGTTTGATACCGATGAGGTAACAACTGTCACAAATACTTGATAGGTTAGACTATGATGAAATCTTATCGGATTCGTTAATTACTTCCTAGCAAAACTTTCCGTTGGATAACTTAACTTTTGTTGGTCTGATGTCCATGATTGATCCACCTCGTCCAGCTGTTCCCGATGCTGTCAGTAAATGCCGTAGTGCAGGTATCAAAGTAATCATGGTAACAGGTGATCATCCGATCACCGCGAAAGCAATTGCGAGACATGTTGGAATAATCTCAGAAGGTGAATTTTTGCTTTGTGATACCAAAATAAGCATCCGATCAGTTATGATAGCAAAACATCTTCTTCCTGTCTAAATAGGGTCCGAGACCATTGAGGACATAGCCAAACGTGAAGGAGTTCTGCCAAGAGATGTTGATATCCGGTATATATCCACTACTAATTGTTATTTATGCTTTATTTAATTACTAATCTGACATGAAGTTTATCGTAATTTTTATTTATAGTCTCGCTAAAGCCTGTGTTATTCATGGCAGCGAATTAAAGGTAATTAATTAATGTTTGCTGCTGTACTGTATGAAACATACCTGTCATACTAATTTTTTGATTAGTACATACACGGTATTATGGATATTTTTCGGGATATCATTGATCTTCATTTCAATTATTTTATTGCTATTACTAACTCCATTTTTAAATTTATGTTTTTGTAGGAAATTAGTCAAGATGCATTAGACGATATTTTAGCTCATTACCCGGAGATTGTGTTCGCACGAACGTCGCCGCAACAGAAATTAATTATTGTTGAAGGTTGTCAACGTCAAGGGCAAATTGTCGCTGTAACTGGTGATGGAGTTAACGATTCTCCAGCATTAAAAAGAGCTGATATTGGTATACATTTTAAGCTGTAATACACTAAGTTATTTCAGGATCTTAGTTTCTGACAAGGGTTATCCTTGTAGGTGTTGCTATGGGAATTGCTGGATCTGATGTTTCTAAGCAAGCTGCTGATATGATTCTTTTGGACGATAACTTCGCTTCCATTGTAACTGGTGTAGAAGAAGGTACTTTTATTACTTTATGATGGATGTGTTATCGCTTGATTCTGATCTTTTTCTAAATTTATAGGTCGACTTATCTTTGATAATCTGAAGAAATCAATTGCATACACTTTGACCAGTAATATTCCCGAAATTTCACCATTTTTGATATTTATTATCACCAGTATCCCATTACCTCTTGGAACTGTTACTATTCTCTGTATTGACTTGGGAACGGATATGGTAAGCCTTACTACGGGTATGATATGATTGCGTGTTTTATCTTATTTAGTCTTTTCTGCCGAAATTTAGGTTCCAGCTATTTCCCTTGCTTATGAAAAAGCCGAGAGCGATATTATGAAACGTCAACCTCGTGATCCTGTACTTGATAAATTAGTTAATGATAGATTGATCAGTATGGCTTATGGCCAGATTGGAATGATGCAGGTTCGAAGTGGGGCAAAAATATTTGATATATTATTTAATTGCTAACGTTGATTTCATCAATGAATGATGTGACTACTTTGTGTTATTCTTTAGGCTACGGCTGGCTTTTTCTGTTATTTCGTAATTATGGGTGAAAATGGCTTCTTACCTAATAGACTATTTGGAATTCGAGTATTTTGGGAAGATCGCAATAACCATGCCCTATTGGATTCCTATGGCCAAGAATGGGTAAGGCTAATCTGGTATGGTAGGTTTCTTGACTAACTAAGAAAGTTTGATGAATTAATTGGTGATTATGTATTTTTTGTAGACCTTCTCGCAACGAAAAGTGCTAGAGTATACATGTCATACGGCTTTCTTTGTCAGTATTGTAGTCGTGCAATGGGCCGATTTACTCATCTGTAAAACTCGTCGAAATTCCATAGTCCAGCAAGGATTTTTCTCGTAAGACATTATGAATACTTTAGTAAAGGATAAGATGAATAGTTTGCCTTGTCTTATCAAGTTATGAATTATCCAATTATTTTTTATGCAGGAATTGGTACATGCTTTTTGGAATATTTTTCGAAACAGCATTAGCTGCAACTTTATGTTATGCACCTGGCACTGATCAAGCACTACGAATGTATCCTTTAAGATTTACTTGGTGGCTTCCCGCGTTGCCATTTAGTCTTTTAATATTTGTTTACGATGAATGTCGACGTTACATATTAAGAAGAAACCCAGGAGGTCAGTTTAAAATAACATTATAAAACCTAGGAATCAAAGTTGTTACTTAAATTAAGGGGAAACTTACTTTCTATATTTCAGGTTGGGTTGAGAAAGAAACTTATTACTAAATAATTATTACGGCCCCAGTAAGTTTCTTAGTACGATTTGCCTTCATGACATTTGATAATAATTTTTGTGCTTGTGCTTATGGAAAAGGTCGTACATTTTGTAGCTATTTTGTAGTATTAATATGTGAGCTCGTCTGAGAAGTATCTCAAAATTTGCAGGTTACTATAATACTGTAAACTTTTTCTTGGTATCTTACAGTAGTTAATTAATTTCATCACGTCTGTCGACAGCGACACGGCTTTTAGTTCTTATTTTTGAATTCTATCTTATGTTTACTGCTTTGGATTAATATTTAGCATTAGCTGATACAGCTTATCAGTCAGTGTCATTATGCTTGAATGCTGGGTACGTAATAATATATATATATAGTAATATAACGTTTCGAATTGTGCCTAATAAAAATCTCTTAATTAATTAACTATTAGTCAATTGTTCTATTTTACTGGGAGCTATTTCGATTTCATTACTTATTATAGACCATCGCATCTGCTTAGATAATGGTTGTTGTTGCTACTTTATATAATTGAAAATGATGTTGAATATATCGCTAGCAGTTAACCGCGTTTGAGTACTTGTGCAGCAATTTTTTGCTATCGTATTCTTTACGTACAATATATTATCATTCCATGCTCAATGTAATCTAAAAGAACCAAGTTGATCTAAAAAATAATTCATCAATTTTATATGTTGTCATTTGCTTTGTTAGACTTGGTCAAAACATTTCATAATTTATTAATGCTAATAAGCTAATAAATTTAAAATTATGAGGTACCGTACCCTATTAGGGCATCGAGTTCACAGTAAAGACCAGATATTAATCATTTCAGTCACACATGCTGGAGAAAAGTAAAGTTGGAGGTCGAAGCAACAGTTTAAAAAAATTACTTTAAATTTATTGTACATTATTAAATTAAACTAGAAATTGATTTTCTATCATTCTTTGGGTATTTGACATTCCTCGCTACAACAAATTGGATAACTATTATTTCAATAATACAGATCGATTCAGAATATTAGATCGTATGACATTCGTAATTATCTATTTATACCAAGTCCTACATTCCTTGATAGTACTAATCGGTGTGGCGAGATAAAATTGAACAAGAAACTATAAAGTATACGTTTATTATCGCTTTGTCACAAATTTATAAGCGAATTATTAATTAAGATATGGAGCAAAGTAGTAACAGTTTAAGCCAATGTTGAATCTCAGAAGTTTGGCCCACATGTGTAAAGAGAACTTTAAAAACAATTTTTAGAAAATCAATTAATACGAATTCTGTACCCTTTTTGAGTACTTTCGATGCTTTCCCGGAATTGGGTGGAGTGCTAAAACGCCTTCGTATAAATGAAATACTGGAATACGATAAGATGCCGGCAAATTAAATTATTAAATTGAAGATTTACTAAAATTCATGGATGCATAAACAGTTGCTTATAAGAATAAGTAGTGTTGACCTTACATTACTTATGGACATAACTTATCATACGATAGATCAATGAGAAACAGGCATGCTATGATCGAGAATATTACTATGTATCATAAGTATATTTCAGCTATATTAATCTATTTTTACAAGCTAAATATGTAAATCAGCCTCGTCTACATATCGCAGACATGTAATCACTTTGCAATTTGAAAGTATAGTATCAAATTATGACGCTATTATTCAAAATTGATTGATACTTGTACGCAGGATACTAATCTGGCTAAATATTTAATTGTGCTTATGAAACAATTTGTGTATTTCAATACTAGATAACAAATAAAATGGTATAGCGATTTTACTGCTTAATTTATAACGCTATTCGCGAAAATTAGAGATTTGAAATATTCGCCGTCTGGCTAGCGTAAATGCTAACTGAAGTATTATGATTAGCAAACATTTTGTCTACATACTAACTTTAATTTTTCTGTCGTGATATACATGTACAGATCACAGTTTAAAATAATTTATACTTTACAGTACAAGTAATATTAAGACTTCATACCTACCTATTTTAATCCAATAACAACCTGCTGGCCTAAAGCAAGCCTCCATTTCTATAGCATGACGGATAGATTGCATGATAGCAGTTGTTTTTTACAGCTAGCCATTCCATGAATCAAAATATCTTTATAATCCATATCGATCTCCTTCAGTTTATCACTGATTTCTTTGATGAAATTTGATCTCTCAGTACGGTAACTATCTGGTGTTAAGGAAAGATTTTGAAGCAAATCTTCTATAAATTTAAATCAATAGAAATGCAATTAATATTGAAATTATCCAGAGAGCAGCCATTATCTGTTTCATGGACATTAATATTTACTATTCTACAATTATGAGACCGTTCTCGATAATTTCTAAAATATCTGTGCAATAGTATTTAATGAACAAAACTAAGATCATGATAGCATACCGATAGAATCATTATTCTGGCTCTAATCATTACTTTTATCCGATAGATTAGCTGCAGGTAATTGCTCTACAGATATTTTTATTTCTACTACATCTTGAGCCATATCAAAGTATTGCCTTCATGTCTCCACTGCAATTTATGCGATATCAGCGACTTGCATTTTTTACTAACCTAAATCCTGAGCCATAGCCATGTTTCGTCTGTCTACCCTTTGAGATGTATCATTTATTCTATTCATTTCGGCAATTAGAGTATCAAATTTCTGTTCAAAATTTATCAGTAGACTTTGTGCATCGGTAGGCTTGTCATTTATCTTTGATAGTGCATTCTCTACTTCATAATGAATAATATCTACAAGATCGCTATTTAATTTCGACGTACTATCCTTCAACTCTTCTAAGGATGCTTTTATTTCTTCAAAATTATCAACAGGAGCAATTTTCATCTCTTTCTCTGCGTAATTTTTAAGCTCATGTACGTCAGAGATGTAAAATTAGTTGAATAGAAAGGTTACACTGGAACTCTTCATCTTTAGGTTTCTGCACATGGTTAAGCCACTCATATTCAGTATCGTCATTCATTCGGCTAGATAGGCCTCCATCGATTATTGAATGTTTACGAAAACGCCAGGCTGGATAACGGTACCGTTGATCTGTCTTCAATTTATCTTTACGGTAGCAGTATTTGACTCCATCTTTGCTATTTACTCATACTATACCTATCTAATAATTTACCTGTGTACTCATATTTCCCTAGCTGCTCTCCATAGATGATCACTTTTACATACTTATCATACTTTGATTTATTCTTGTTATATTTAGCATTTTTTCTAAAACGCCAAAGAAAACCTACTTTGCTAATAGATGCTCAGACTGCAGTAAGTCTTCTCTAGGTGATTATTCTTCAATATAGTTAAGGATTCGATCACCACTTCCTTCGCATATTTCTTAATATACTGATAGTAGTAGTCAGATTTGCTATCAATATTGTAAATCTGTTACTGAAGCATTCCAGCTAAGTCATAAACTATCATGGCTATCGATAATTTAGCAATTTTCAAACTAGGAGGCATAGCAGTGGCATTTTTAGCCTCTTTGCGATAATCAGATCGATTTTCTTCGCTTTATCAGCATATAAATGACCTTAATAGGAATCAGGAAATTTTGACTCAATGGTATGTATCCACTAAGACTTTCCAATATTTTTGCTCGTTCCCCGGCTTTAGCTGGTACTTTATATTCTATAAGCAGCGAATGCACCAATAATTTACGTTTTTAACCTTCGAATAAACGCAACCAAAAAGTGTTTAAATTTAAGGGCGCCACCAGTATTCAATTCCTCAGTAGTAGTGACCGTCCTTGATCGTCTTAATTATGTGCAACGATTCGCCGATCTTACCAGTTTTCCTTTTTATTCTTGACTCATGGTGCCCTTTTCCTTGAATGATGCTATTGCAGGAGATAATTTTAACATCTACTGATACTTTCCGTGTTAAAATAGGTTTTTTCCCTTTAGCCACTTGTATAACAGAAGTGATAACAGAATATTCCAGTGCAATCTGCGACAATTTAATACATGTTAGCTAAAAATTACGCTAATTTTATTTCAACTTTAACATATACAAATACCCTCACTATGATCTCCACTCTAACTATTCCGTTATTGTACAGTGCTTAATAACAGGTTTTGATAATATAATATAAACTACAACCTATTTAATTATCACCTTATATCAATGCTTTGGCTTATAGCTATAACTATTTCAATCTAATCAAGTGAATTTATTTTTGCATCCTCCAATGTTACTTCTAGCTTAACTCGTAGATAATTATAGGACGCCTTCATAGAACAGCTTCAATTCATTAGTGTCACGATGTTGATTCTTGTTATGTATAAATTAATTCTAGTTAGTAGTGCTAATGGACGATGACATGATTATGTTTATGATATTTAATTTAACACCAACCTTATTATCGGCTTATTATTAATTTTAGTCTCTTAAATGATTTAGTGGTGCTGATTCTCTAGGTCTTAATTGATCGTTAATTGATTTATATTAATTACGGTTGTTTACTGTTAGATTCTATAGTATGTTATATTATAAATCTATCTCTCATTCTAATACTAATGTTAGTAAATTGTACAACCGGCATATTTCAACAATGCCCCATTAGTTTATGGCAAATGTATATAAGCCAGTGTAACGTTTTAGTTGACTAATTATCTCTTAGTCGTACACAAAGGTTTATACTTTTGTATATACTAAGAATAAAGACTCTTAAAAGCTAAACAAACTTCTACCCGCTTATAGTACTTGTGAGACAGTAGTTAGTCTAATTCGCAGTATTAATTTATCTCCTTAGTTAGTAGGAGCTCGTTAAGTAGCTAGTGAAATAGCTTAGTCGATCACAACGACGAGAACTAACAATTAGATATTTTATATCTTGTCTGATGATTTATGAACTGTATTACCATCTATCTTTCTAGTTTTTTCTTTACCTAACAGCTTCAATTCATTGCATATGTCAGCTTATTCTCACATTTCATTATAAGTGATTAAATATCGTACTTCTTATTACAATTTTACGTAGGTGTC